AAACCACTCATGGAACTTAGGAGAGTAAAACTAGTTTCACTCATATGAAACTGGAATGCGCTGAAACTAAACCCTAGTGAAAGTTTGACTTTCTGGTTTGTTGCCAATAGTTTGCCCTTCTACCCTTTCATTCAACTAAAATAGCACAAATACTAGGTTCATCAAAAAGGTCTTGATTTTTGCCATAAAGAAACTAACCGGACCTAACCCAATAGACGACCATGGGTGTACTTGATTACGAGTCCCCCATGGAAAGCAAATATTTCAAATTGGAAAATCAATCAGAAGCTTCCTTCGGGACAATCAGCAATTACATTCGACTGCATAGAAAACGGTGCAAGCAGAAGTAAATTAAAAAGCTTTTCGACGGGAGATCAAAGCACAGATGTTCATCACAAGTACGTGTAATAAACGATGTCGCATCGCATTTCTTAATAAATAATCTGTCTAGCTCAAAGACGTAGATGAAGGTCCCAGAAACGTTTTTTGCTACCTTATTACTTTCCTGAGTGGTAGACATGAGGTGCTTAGCGATAAAAGAATTGGCTTTCCAAAAAGGGGCTACGCGCTAAAGTCTTGAGAATGTCTGAGGTAGCCTGCGGTAGTGCTTTCGTTCTAGAAAAGGTCCAATATGTCAAACACGAAGAAGTCCAGACATCCGCTGCGCGACCAGAAATTCGTAAAAGGATTGTTCTTTTTGACCTTATTTTATTTCTAGCCTGCTACCTCCAGGACGTCGTGTCTGAATAGCTTTTCGAAGCTAGCATCAAGAGTGAAATGGTGCTGTTCAACACCATTCGCAAGAAGTAACGCAGAACAGCAAGACTAAATGGTGATGTTAACTGTTATTCGCAACAAGTGATTTCAATTACCGCAACGGCAAGCGGTGTTGCTCAACACCAAACGCAACAAGGTGAAGAACGCAGCAGCAACATGTACCGCTTAATTAATACCATATGCAACAAGGGATGAAGGGCACGCGTAAAATTGTCCTGCTCAGTACCATTTGCAACAAGTAAAGTCAACACAACAACAGTAAATGGTGCTGCTCGACACCATCCGCAATTAGCTGTAGTGTTCAACACAATTTACAACACATGATGCACTAGAAAGCAACAGCAAATGGTGTCGCTTGATACCACTCGCGACAAATAGTGCACAATACACAATAGCAACCGTAAATGGTGCTGCTCGACACCATCCGTAACCAGTTGAAAATACAGCAGCACCGACACTGTAGTGCTCAAAGCCATCCGCAACAAATGATGCAGTAGAGAGCAGCGAATGGTGTCGAATGGTATCATCAGAAACAGGGAATGCGCCACACAGCAACCGTAAGGCGCTGCTCAGCACCATCCGCAACAAGTTGAGGACTCAGCAGCAGCAATACGCTCAATACCATTAGCAACAAGTGATGAAGTAGAAAGCAGCAGCAAATCTGCTGCTCAGCACCTTCACAACAAGTAATGCAGTACACAGCAACAGCATTTTGGTGCTGCTCCACACCATTGACAAGCTGAGGAATGTAATAACAGGAGTACGGTAGTACCATTCGCAACAAGTGATATTGTAGAAAATAATAGCAAATGGTGCAGTTCAATACCACTTACAACAAGTAATGCACAAAAAGCAACAATTTGGTGCTGCTCGACACCATCCGCAACTAGTTGAAAACAGAGCAACACCAACACTGTAGTGCTCGACACCATTCGCAACAGATGATGCAGAGAAATCAACATCAAATGGTGTCTCTCGATACCATTCGCGACAAGTAGTGCACAACAGGCAACTGTAAGCAATTGTAACTGGTGCTGTTCAACACCATCCGCCACAGGTTAAGGAGCACAGAAGCAGCAACATGCTCAATACCATCGCAACAGTGATGCAGTAGAAAACAGCAGCTAATCGTGCTGCTCAACACCTTCACAACAAACGCAGTACAAAACAAAGAATTTGGCGCTGTTTAACACCATCGGCAACTAGCTGAGGAACACAGCTGCAGGAGCATAGTAGTGCACCATTCGCAACAAGTGATGCAGTAGAATGCGACAGATGGTGCTGCTCGACTCCACTCGCAACCACACTGTAGTGCTCAACACCATTCGCAAAAGATGACGTAGTAGAAAACAACGGGAAATGGTGTCGCTTAATACCGTTAGGGACAAGAAGTGCACTACAGAGACCGTAACTGGTGCTGCTAAATACCATCCGCATCAAGGTGAGGACCACAACAGCAGATGCAAGCACGCAGCAACAGCTTTTGGTGCTGTCAACACCATTCGCAACAAGTGATGCACGAAAAGCAAAAATTTGGTGCTGCTCAACACTATCCACACAAGTCGAAGACTACAGCAGCAGATGTCGCTTAACATCAGTCGCAACGGGTATTGACGAAAATTCACACCAAGGTGAGAAACACATCTTACACCATAAATTCTAAAAACTTTGAATGTTCTAAAGAAATCTTCAAATCAGTTACTTTCACTCCATGATATTAAAAATTTGAGAATCATAAGTTTTAGAGACATTCGTTAGATACGATTCTTCTTGAAGCATAGGTCATAGAATCAAACATCATTGAAACTTACCAATCTTCCAGTTATGTGGGTGAAATCAAAAACTTTAGATCTGACTGTTTTCAAGTCAGAGTCGCCGCGCAACGCTAAAGGTAGCTTTCACTTTACCAAGCGTAAGTGCACGATTTCCCCTCTACAAAATTTGACACGAGCGGATTTGATGAAAGTAAAGAAGGTGTAAAATTTTGAAATTCCTAAGAAGTCGCTGGATAGTCATTTTTTTGCTCTTAGGCTTACTTTATGATCACTTATGATTTTCTTAAAATAGGTTTTACAACTATGAAAAAGTTTGCAGACGAACCACATACTCTTAAAACATCTCCGAAGTTTTGTGTTTGATTAATTAGTTCTATCACATAGGCCAAGTTATTAAGTCTAGCGTATTGAAGCTAAATAATCCTTTTTCGCGTTTGTAGAGTGTGAAATATTTCAACCACTTTACAGCTAGGTCTTGACAGAACAAAGTGTGAGCAATAGTAATCAGCGGCAGAATTTTAGTCCATGCAAACCTTTTTGAATCCCTTATCTCTGCTGAATTCTTGAGAATGTACACTGTTCGCTTTGCGTAGGGGAGTAATGCGTTGCGATAGCTTTTTTCTCATGCATGAATATAGTCTTAGTGCAGTCCTTTTTCATAGACACTCACTTTCTTATCGCCTTTAGCTGCGCCTTTGGCTAGACACTTTGGATACAAAAAACACACCAGTACTGCTCTATGCAAACATTGCTGAGAAAATTCTGAAAAAAATTTGAGTGTATATAGCATCTTCTTGCTTATTCACCAGCAAAAAGTTTTATTTACGAAAAACAAAAACATTTTCATATGAAGCTAACTTTCTTCAATGAGAAATCATGAGAGTTTTTGTAAGTGTTAGTAGAAGTTGATATTTATAAAACCTGTGTTGCAAACTATGATTCGAGAAAAAGCAAAATGCTCCAACAAGTCTCAAAGTTTCAAGCTTATTTGAGCTTTAGATAGAAGAGAGATAACAGAATTCCGCTCATGAATATAATCAACAAAAGTTTTGAAGATAAATCAGGTTCGTGAAGTTTTTTTTGAAAGTAATACTCAAGGTCGTAATCTCTTAAGATTCATAGAGCCAAATATCTTTGAAACATAGGGATTTCGCTTTATTTGCTTTACTAGTTAGGGTGCGTTTCATATTCAAGTAAACCACTCAACGTCAGGACCGCAAAGAAACCGGTATGCTTTCTCAGCTGTTCACTTGTGCTGTTGACTTGTCATTGTGAGTACCTGAAGAAATGAAAATGTGTAGAAGACTGTTTGTTGGCTTTTTTAATAAGAAATTGAGGAAACCGGTCTGGTTATGCAACAGATTGTGATGATACTCATCAGTCGCTCTAGAGCAACTTCTTTTTTTGAGATACTACCCTTTTCGATCCACTGAAAAAATATTTTATGGCATGATATCATATATTGTGAAGCTCTTTAATTTGGAGCTGAAAGTTACAGAAGCTTCAAAATTTGATTATTCATAAGCACGATCCTTTCTTTTCCCTCAACTATAAAAATGGGCTGTTTTGCATAGGATCAGAAAACCTCCAACATGAGTCATCTTATGTCAAAAATTCTAATGTCTTAAAATCTTAGAATCTTAAATCAAACACTCATTAGAACAAGAAAATCAAGAGTATTTGTTCTTTGAAAGATTCTCACCTTCAAAGATTTCTGTTCCTTTTGATGATAAGAGTAAATCAGTTGCATATAACTTTGTGGGGCTACCTTCCAGCGACTTCGATCCCGGTACCCTTGAAGAAAAACAATTTTTCTTAACAATAATGTAAATTTCGCGAATACCCGTAAAGAAACTTGGCGGTTTTTACATTCCAAAACAATGTGCGTGTTTTACAGTCCATTCACAGAGGTTGTTCTCTATCTATATTTTTTCAACTCTTTAGAGCGAAAATTTGTTGGCGCAAAATTTGCAGCAGAAAAGTTTCGGTGGAAAAGTAAAGAAGAGCGAAAAGGGTCGATTAGATTGACAGAAAAATTTTTTTTTCTGCAAGCAGTGGGTTAATTAAGGGAAGTGGTTAGTTAAGGGATGTTGATGCGTTCGCAGTGTCGCCTGCGGGGACCACTCGCGCGCTCGCCTGCACGGACCAACCGCGCGCTTGCTTGGGGCGGAGCATCCCACTGTGTCGCTCTGGGACAGACTCACCCATTTTGATCTTGCTCCCACATCTCAGCTTCCCCTTATTGCTAATCAATTACTTCACAAAAATTGCTGATTTAAGCGCCAAAAAATCAATCCACACTTTTTTTCATAGAGATAACAACCAATTATACTTTCTCAGGTCGCGAAAAGGTGTGCAGGAAGCCATTAGCATTGCCTATCGTGCATTGCGTATCACCGCATGATTCATCACATCACATCGGAGCCGTGTGCGTCGTTCGCTCTTCGTGTGCGTGTGGTGGTGGTGGTGGAGCGCGTGTAGGCTGAAGCGACGTCCAGAAACGGCCACTGACTGACTCAGTTCGTCGAGTTTCTTCGCTATTTCCACCATGTTCAGCCTATTCGCTCTCTGGCTCACGTTAACTGCTCTAAACATCGTTCCCATCTTTGTCGATGGCCAATTGGGACAGGCCCAGCAGGACTTCCTGGCACAGGTAAGCACCCGAAGTGCTTCACTAATGCGCCATGCGTATTCTCCAATTTCAGATTCAACCGCCAGCTCCGGCTGCATTTTTCGACCTTGGCCAGAATCCAAATAGTTATACCGAGTTCGAAGGTAGAACTGGCTTTTCGTGGTTTGTTTAAGCTTTTTCATGGCACATGCTTCGTGTTTGCCTAAGTGCAAGTCAATAGTTTGTTGCTGATTTTAGCCGAATCGTTCTATGTCGGGCATAAACTGAACATAGCCAGGGGGGAGGGGTCAAACTAAGGGCCTATTTGCGTCATAGCTGATCAATTTTAGTAGAACTCGCATGAGCTAAAAATAATTTGCGTATCTCATACGAAAAATTGCGACAATAATGATTTGAACTCTATCAAAATATGGAAAAAATCTTTTCAATTCTACAGAAAGCGAAAAATACGAATTTGTTGTATTTAAGTTTACCCTGACAGAATGAGTCGGAATGTGATTATTCGAAAGAATTTTAGCAAATCAGCTTTATATGTGCTTTTAGAACCTTTACCCTAAATTTCCACGCTTGTAAACTGTTTTCTCTCCTTTACGGCTATTTTTTTCTGAACACATAGTTTCAAAGATTGTTCGGAACTATATTTTTTTTCAAGCCGATATCATCAGTGACCTATACTAACTCAAGTTTCACTCCGTTAGAAGAATTAACATGAAAAATTCCAAATTTATAATTGGGCAAAGAGTTTCATTTCTAAAATTTTATATCATTGTGACAGGAAGTGTGCCATTTGTCAATGAAGAATTTATTTATTTATTTTAATACACAAGAGTGCACCAAAACAAAAGAAAAAGAAAAATGAAAAAATAATTCAATATTTTTCAACGCTTTGACTTGTCATAATATTGCACATAATCTAAGAAGATTTTTACAGCAGTATCTATTGAATTTTAACTCAAAATGTTTATTGTTAGCATTGCGGCTTGCAAACCAGATCAGAAAAGGCAAAACGTTCGGATTCCTCGTTTTTAAACCTTTTTGCATGGAGTGTGTTGTTATAAAACATGAATGCAGGCCGTTTTGTGCAGAATTTTTAACCATCTCAAGGTGGAAGTTGCTGGTTCAATTCAATCGTGAGTAAATAAACGCTGTCTAAGTTTTTGCTTCCTACTCGAAGCTGCAACCATATCAGGGACAAACAAAAACGTTTCCGACACATACTCCGGATTCCGAATTCTTTTGAATGTTTCGTGGTTATTGATAAGCTACAGCAATTTGAAAAAGCGCAAACATTTCGCTTTCATCGAGAAGTACAATTCTTTTTTCCAAGCGGTTTACAATCTGCAGATCCAGCGATTAATTTGGTACACGTTATCTTTGTAAGTAGTGTCTGCCTAACATTCTTTGACTTTTCTTCCGGTAAGAACTATCATTTGTAATCTTACTGCATTCATAACCGCTAAACACAGTACACGTGTCCAATATCGAAAGCGATTCTTCTGTAAAAGTGCGTGGGAACAATTGTATCACTCAAACGTGTGCTTCGCATTTCTAAAGGTGTAGTTGCGGCCTCCGCCATGTCTCAAAAGCAAAAATCAAGTTCACTGGGGGAAAATGAAACTAAGAATTTGGTTTTTGGTCTAGTTAACCCAAAAACTTCCAGGAAATCTTGTTCGGTATGGAGAAGACTTTGGAGATCGTTACATAACCGATAATCAACGGCAAAATGGGCTTAACATAAAATTACACAATTTCTTTCCATTCTATGGTGGCCGATACAACTATACCCTGGCAAGTCACCTTTGATTTTTACCCTTTTTTTTTATTTCCAAACTTGAACGTCTTACTTATGCAAGAATAATAACTTGTTGATTTTTATTTTCTAAATTTTCACAACTACTGAAGTAAAAACCTTACTTGTTCAAAAATTTAACGCGAGCCTTGGACAGTCTACCAATTTTTAGCACTTTTATTGACGACTTAGCTCATCAAAAAATCCATTTTTTACTATTTGCTTTCCATATTGCACAGACTTAGTATGAAGCGCTTTGTTGCCACAAAGATAAGTCATAGTGCCATTCTCAGGGGTGGTTGAGCTTTTTATAAAGCATTTTTTTGTGGTGAGATGCACTTTTATCACAAATGTACTGTGCGAGGGTCTTTTGCACGATTTGGAAGAATTTTGGAAATACGGGACTTTGCCCTGTTGCATCCAGAAAACTCCGAAATTTGAGGTATCGTGGCATTAGAGAAAAGTTCTACGGGTTTCCGAAATCGTTTTGAAGAGTAATTTTGAAAAAACTTTTCTACACTGACTGAATTTTTCGATTCCTGAACCTGGGAGGATTAGAGATTGTGAGACATTCTTCAAAAATCAAAAACTACAGTGAAGGAACACAGTGAATAAGACGTAAATAGAAATTAGTGGAGTATACAATGAAAATGTATAATATTTTGTATTCTCATTTATTTCTATGGGGTTGTTGCAAGAATAATCTCCGTTTTTCTAGGCTTAATTTCCAAACAACTTTTTTCCATCAGACGTTCTTTTTCAATATAGACGCTACATATCATTGAAAAGCTCTCTTTATGTATTAGGTTGGCCCGAAAGTTCTTTCGCACCAAACTTAAAAATTCATAACTTCTGATTTTTTCAACCGATTGGACTGCTTTTATTTTTCTATGAAAGGGTAAGTCATGCTCTTTATAATGACATCTCAGATGCCTACTAATGATCATCTGTTGCATAGATAGCAGCGATAGAGAAAATTGGTCAAAGTTCGATTTTTTCGTGTACGGTCATAAAAAATCGGAAATTTGCAACAAAAATCGGAGCAGTCAGTATTGTAGGTTCTTTCACCAGCACTTTTTAAGGCCTCGGACATACCTCACGCGATTTCAGTCGCGACGCGATTTGCAGTACTCCAAACGTTCATAACTCATCGTAGGGGGCTTCTGAATGTACTGAAGATGGGGCATTTTATCAACCTACGAAAGTTATACATGCTGTACATCTGGGGTCAACCAGTATTGAATTTGAAAACATCTGGCAAACTGCCAGATCGCGTGGCGACTGAAATCGCGTGAGGTATGTCCCTTGCCTAACGGCGCAAAGTTTGCGCCGATTGAGCGTCTCTATGAAAAGTTACGATTTTCGAGCAAGCAATACAAAAGGGCGAATTTGATTTATTTTGGCATTTTTCAGGGAAATCATAACTTTTCATAGAGACGCTCAATTGGCGCAATAAAAGCAGTCCAATCGGTTGGAAAAATCAGAAGTGATGAATTTTTAAATTTGGTGCGAAAGAACTTTTGGGCCAACCTAATACTTTCTGATACTGGTGAAATTAAGTTTTTATCTCATCTGAGAGAAATTTACCAACATTTTGACATCCCCACCTCAATCGCAATATTGCTTTAATTTTCTTGGTCATGATCCAAGCGCAAATGAACGACTGTATGGAATGAATATTCTTTGCCTACTACACGTTTGAATAAATTTTTCGAATACATCTGGACTGAAAAATTGACCCTTCAATATAGATACTCGCTGCTTGGCGCTCTATGGGTTAAAAATTCTTTTTGATTAAGGCAATCGTCTATAGTTATAGCTTTTCAGAGTCTAACTTTGCAAAACGGACGTTATTTTTGCAACAACCTAATCTAATATATAAAGAATCGTTAGCGCAATTCAAAAATCTGCAAATAGCGGGAAACCGCGGTGCGGTCCCGAAGCGCGCGAATGCAATTTAGCCCCTTTAATTACTGGTCCATAGTATCTCCATATTTATCAAAATGGGTACTCAAATTTTGCTTTGAAAAATGTTCATTTCTAACTAACTCATCATCATGTTTAACTAACCAGTATTTGTTTGTTCATCGAAGATGCCACCAGAGGGTAATCATCTGCTTTGCGAAAATGGCTCTCAGTTTCAGCCTAGTACCTTTGTGGTTTCTGTTGAATTGCTAGCTACATATGTTCGCTAATAATTTTTTGTCGACGAACGTAGAAATGCATCAGTTTGTTCTGCTTTCTTTTTCATATAAAACGGACCTGCAGTGTTTGCACATTTTCTTTCAATAGCTGCCCTATCTTTATTGAGCTTACAATGAATAGTGCTCTTGCCATTCGAGAGCAATGATACAAGTGTAGCAAGAGTACGTATGTAGGTGTTTCTCTGCTGACTAAGCATTCCTTTAGTGTTGCGATCGAACGGAAGAACGAAAATTAGTTGACTGGTATTGTTTTACGATGGTGGAAGACTAACAAAACGAGCGTAGAATTTAGACAAAATTTTGAGCTCTAGATCGCAAATAATTTTCATTCAAACTACTAGAATTACATGCGCGGCGCTGCACCTGCTTCGCTAAACTGCAATATTTGCATTCTATCGTTTTTCTCACTCTCTAATGATAAAAAACGTTTTATAACGACTCCGCGTTCTCGTTCGAGGAGTGAGTCAGCCTTTGTAAACACTTTGTATGAAACGGGTCTAAGCATAAAAAGAAACACATGGTAAGCATTAAGTTTGAAATTTCTCAGCTTTGTGTGCATGCAAATTCCAGAGGGATTTTTTTCATAAAAGAAAATTAGAAGAAGACAGTTCGTACTTTGCTCTATATTAATATATCTACTATTGCTATTACTAACTTTATTAATGGTCATTATTTATAACACGAATGCACAAGCATGGAAAATCTATCTATACGTGGTGTATGAAAAATTTTTTAGTTGTAGCAAGATCCCATTATAAACAACTAGAAACAACTACAATTCGTTCATTAAATAAATGTGATAAATTCATAGAATAAATTTTATCTACTCTTCCCTATTTTTTTCATTTTTTTCTAACAAAAATAGACTCAGTGAAATTTTTAGACTACTTAAACTACAGATAAATTAGGTCGTTCCGAAAGTTCTTTCCGTTTTTTCAACCTATCTTGAAAACACATGGAATGAAGGTAGGGAAACGCTTCAAGTGCTATCCGACGCATTTTTTCTTCCTCTTTTTAACAGTCATATTTCTTTGTCGCTTGCTCTTGTGGTCAGTGAGAATAATGGCCGAAATTTTGAACTCGTGGTTTTTACCATGTCCAATTTTCGCAATTTTTCACAATTCCCTTTTTGACTTTTGGAGAATCTCCAATAGCATTCGGATAAAGTAAACAACTTGCAATTTAATGGATTTTTTTTGGCATTTTCAACTGGCTTCTCAGTATTTTTTGAGACAACTTTTCCAGACGTCTTCACTTTTTCGAAGTCACAAAACACACAAACGCTCCGAACATCAGCAAATCTTCGGATTTTGCCACTATCAATAGTCGTCTATGATTGTTCACTATTTTTACAAAGTGACTGAGTGTTTACCGCTTCGAAATATAAGATTTCGCACTTTACGTGCACACCCTCAGGCGGGTTCAAAATCAAGAATTATGGGAATTTTATCGCCAAAAACCCCCACAAGTTGGGAAGAAAAATACTCAATAGAAAAAGGAGGAAAAGCTGTATCGAATGACACCTTAGCTGTGACCCGTTTTATGTTTATGGTTCTTGGCATCACCAAAAGTGAATTTGATAACATCAAAAAAATAATTTTAAAAAAATTCTAGGGCTAGCAACAGATGCCAGAAAATTCCATTAAATTGCACTTTGTTTACTCTATCCGACTGCTATTGAAGCTTCTTCAAAAGTCAAAAAAGGAAACCGTGAAAAATTGCCAAAGTTGGACATGGTAGGAATTATGGATTCGAAATCTCGGCCATTATCTCACTGACACAAGAGCTAGCGACACAGGAATATGACTGTTGAAAAGAGGAAGAAAAAATGCATCGGATAGCACTTGAAGCGTTTCCCTACCTTCATTCCATGTGTTTTTATGATGGGTTGAAAAAACTTGGAAAAAACTTTCGGAACGACCTAATATTTTCTAGATCTCAACAAATGGCTACATCAGCTTTGCCTACTTTTCTGATGATTCCTCCACGCTTCAAGTTGGCTTAGATATAGATTGGCCAACCCAAAGTGACCCAGCCGTCATCGCACCTTATCTTTGCAAGTAAGCCTGTTTCGATGTGTTATCGTAAAAATGTAAAATATCCTTTCACTTTTGAAATTTAATTTCTGCACTAAGTTGTGCTTGCGATTGTTTTTCCAGGCAACGTATCCAAAGTGGTCAAGGTGTTGATTCTAGAGTGTTCTACAGAGTAGAAACTCGTCGGGGGCCTGTACAGACTAGTGGGATGTTGTCACTTTTTCATCACAGTTTTCAACCATTGCGAAAAAAACTTTTAAGGTCCTCGTGGTGGTCGGCCTCCTTGTTTAGGGAAACCAGCTCATTTTCGATGTGATGAGCAGTCGGAACTATTTCTTAACGCTCTTCAGCGATCTCTAATGCGTAAGCGAGTTCTTCGACATTTCAAGCTTTTTCACCTTTCCCATATTTACCTCACTGATTTTTTGCCTGCAACTTTACGAGATAATTATTGATATTTTGATGTAATTTTGTGTGTTTTAGATAAGTAGGGAATCGGATAAATAAAGTATACAACTTTTAGAAGGCGTAGCGGGAGCTTCGACTTTCCGAGCTGAAGCGGCTCTTATAGTGACTTGGAAGAACTTACGACCAAACATTGGTAGTGAACATGGTCTTTCCACCTATCAGCTTGTTTGGATGTCAGACGCTCAAGTAATTTAGCATTTTTTCAACATGGAAATTTTGTATGAAAATTCAACCATAACCATACACCTACCGTAAACAAGAACAGCTTGTAAGTAGGCAATTTTGGATCTATGTAAGCAAGCAAAGCCTGAAATTTTTAGACCGTAGCTGTTCTGAGAAAAAAAACTAGCTATAACCCATAAGGGCAAGATTTTTAATAAGTCGAGCTTTTGCATTTTTTAGGGACTGCTTTCCTACACTATGATCAATTACTATAAGCTCGGATTTGACGCCGCTGATATGTACGGAAATTCTCGGACTGGAAAATGCCAGGTAAGGTATCTGTTCTTGGAATTTGCATTCGTTCCATTTGGCGTACTCCGCTTGCCAACATCCCAACAAAACGAGCATCTAAGCATGCGAAAAACAATAGCTGAAGACTTCGAGTACGTTTAGGCGATTTTCAACGGTGGCAATCATACGGGTTCAGTTATGGTTGATCTATCAGAAATCACTAAACAACAACCGTCATCGCTAGCATCTCGCTCATCAGTACCACATGTCGTTAGGGGAAGGTAGGCAAACTGAATTTTTAGAAGTGTGAGTGATGAAAAAACCTTGAACGATTCCAGATATTTTCATCGCGTTGATGATGTTGTGCGACCAGCTGGATGTGGAAACAAAACTGGAGGAACTTGTAGGTCATACCACTCAAAAGTTTGTCTCTTTGTTTTCTTTCCAAATAACTTCATTTTTCCTTCATTCAGTCCCCCTGTTGATCTACCCCAATATTGTCACAATGCTTGGTCAGACGAAGGTGGATGTAAATGGAATGTGTCTCAACCCAGCTGTCACCTACGTCCTTATGATCGAACAACGGCAGGTTAGCGCATGACCTAGGTTAAGCGCAGGTACTAAGGTGAAACCTAAATTCATAATTCCAGTACATCATCTTAATCTTGGACCTCCAGTCAGGATGTCAGTCTTCTGTTTTCAGATGGCCAAATGCGACATTCTGAATCCATCCATAGCTCGGTGCACACTTCCGAAAATTTTGGATTGGGGCACAAAGACTGTCTACTTCCAACCACAGTCTGGTTTGTCAAACGATGAAAAGGCATACGTTGGGTTTATCTACTTTGGTAGGCATTTTGAAAGTCATATTTACTATGCCATGTAACTGCGATTTGTATGTCGTATTTTATGATAAGATGTCTTTCAGTTCCTCCTACACTGGATCCCTTACGGCTGGACATAGGAGATATTCATTCTTGGTATCTTAATCCTCCACCAACGTCTATGACCATCAAATGGTAAGTTGAAGCTTCATAATTGCCCAGTCACTATTACTCTTTTTTCGATAGTATTTTCAAAGTTTTTCAAGCGAGCCAACCCATGTTCTACCTTCGTTTTTTTCGTTCCGTATTCGTGGTCTTCTGTATCATTACGCATGGTTTTCTACGAAAAAATTGGGAAATGGTTTTCTTAGTTTTTCAGGTATCCTCGAAATTTTACCGCCCCTCGTGCACCCGGGCAACCTATCAACTACCTCGATGATAGTATCTACAATGTACAGCTTGGTCTGTACGTGGTCGGCTATAAGGAAGCGCAAGATGAGAATTTGAAAAAGTTTGTGCCACAGCATAGAGTATTGGCCAGGTAAGCACCCACACCATTAATTATGACTAACTCGCAGCTTTCCAACCTAAAAAGAACTTCTCATAGTGTAACCAATACGCCTTACTGCTAATATCCTTCAGAAATTTTTCCACAAATAAAAAATGGGAATAAAATTTGTTTGAAAATTTGTACCTGAACGCTAAAACTAGGACTAGTACAAGGTTTATTATGGGAAACATGCTAAAGAAATAGAATGGAAATGCTTAGGCTGGCTACCTACACCAATCGCGCGGATGAGCAGTATCGGTGGAACCCTATAGTTGAACAATATAACCTCGATCGCGTGGATGAGTGGTACCTCGACAGTGATGAGATCTGGTACGATCTTTTTACGTACCGGTAAGTCTTCGCAATCGATCTTCGCGTTATACTCAAAGTAAAACAAGACAATGCTTTTTTTTACCAAAAGCAACTATTTCAGATATACTCGATTGGATTTGTCGAGAAATATAGTGCCCTTGCGATGCCTAAAATTTGCTGTGAAATCTGAACAAGTAGTTACGCTTATGATGCCGGAACCTTAACAATTTAGCCGTGTGAATGTTCAAGCGCAATTTACCACAAAATCTCGGCACAGCAAGGGCACTAAATCTACCACAAATCTACTCGATTGTAAATGAAATTTGGAGCAGAGCTCCTTTTTCTAGATTCGGATACTTGAAACTTTCACCGATACAAGAAGCAACTACTACGACCGGCAGGAGAATTGTAGAACTACCAGAAGGGTAAGCGCCCATAAATCCTTGAAACCCTCAGTCAACTCTTCTTGGGTTCAGCATCATTTCGTCTCCCATTTCACTGCACTGGCTATGGACGTTGCCAACCGACGGACAATTTCAAGGCAACAGGCAAGATAGACAAGCAAAGCTGAACTTTGTTAAGGAGAAGGTATAGTTTTGTGTTCAGGAATAGTAGACTTTATATTTTTAGTTTCAACTAAACCCCTCTCTCATTTTGTAAATTGGGTCCCTTGAATGTAGCAAGCACTCAATCTTGCGATTTTGAAAGAAAGTTATAATCTTATTAGCACAGACTTATTGTGTTTCCCTCACAAAAGTGACTCAACTATTTAGAAATCTATTAAAGTAATCTGGTGGTGAATACATAAACAGCTTTTTCAAACCTTTGCAATATGTGTTGGAAAAGGCCCTTTCTGCCTCTTTTGGATCCAAAATTTATTTCAAAATTAGACTTCAAATAATATAATTTTTCAGGCTCGCGAGATGTGTCACGAATGGTTCAATGAAGACGGTGCATTGTCTAACTTCATAAGAGAGACAGAGACCAATTCAAGCTGTCCTTGCAAAGAAGAGCAGGCTAAAATGGACTTGGGACGATACATGCCTCATCCGAGGTGCAGTTCGGTTCGTTCAGAGTTTCTCAAAATACTTGCAAAAAATACTACTCAATTTTTATTTGCAAAGCATTATCCTTTTTCGAAATAAATTCGAAGTTCAGATTCAATCGCCTATCATTCGATTCTAATGCATATTTATACAGCTAGCATAGACGTATTTTCTTTACAATGAATTTCAACTTTTTCCATTCATATAACTTCTTTCCAGCTTTTTCGTGACGTCACGTGCACGGAAACATTAGGGTCTATGAACTGCTACATGTCCGCACAGAATGTTCGTGGCTCGACCTACCGTACCACTGCTGAGGGCCGTGAGGAAGAAAGGTGAGTCGATTCCTGCTTGGATCTATCTTACTTTTTTATAGTAGCAATTCAAGCTCCTATGCAACCCATTATGGTCAGACTTGCTGTTACGATGCTCGAGGATTTCTCATGCAGTCTACTTACCAACCGGTGGTGAAGGTAAGTCACCTTTTCTTCTTGATCCCAACTTAGACTTAACCTTAACCTTTTTTCAGATAGATGAGAGTACTCCCTATTCACCAGGAGTACCGGCAAGAGCATTTGAACTGGGCAGCGCACCATTCCAGGGAATGTTTGAGGTAAATTTTCGGAATTGTTTTGCATAGTCTGAAAAATTGCCATTAGCATGTTTCCTCTCCGATTAATTTTGAAAGTTGCTTCTGTTGAAAGAGTTTTGCGTATGACCAAAGCATTCTATGGATTTTCTGAGAGATCACTCAAGAACTTCTTGCAATCAAGCCAAATAAATTTGTGGATTTCCTAACTACCAAACAAATATAATGGAAATTTTTTGTAGACAATCAAATCAAGCTTATGGATATTCTAAGAAGCACTTTAGGTCTGAGAAAAACTTTTTATATGCGTCGCACATGGCTTTATCTAAAAAAACGAATTGAAAGTATGCAAAGTTTGGGTTTCTAATTTTGGAGAAGCATTCTTCCACAAACGTGACACATACTGAAAAAAATGTATTGTAACTATAAAATACGAAGAGCACTCAAAAACATCATCTCTCTTGACACCCTCAGTTCACAGGCAACTATGCCACTTTGGAAAAACCATTTTCTTGCTGGTAGTTTGTGAGTTCGAGTACCGGCTCAAAACTAACTTATACTCATCGTAGGTGCCCGGCTTATCCACTTTCCATCATGATATAATGCCCTACTATCTCTGCTGTAAATTTGCCGATTTTCGTTGTCAACTCTTCTACTGGCGCAGGCCATCAAGCGCATGTCAAGCCTACACCCCACCCGTGAGCGGTACGAGTTTTCCAAGAAATGCTCATCGAAACCTACATTCTGCAATTACAGGGTCCATTTTGGGTGCTGGAATCGTTTCCACCCTGAACAATAGAAATTTCATATTTAATGAACCAGGCATATTCACATTATTGCATGCACACAGGACAATCTCTACACCAGATGTGCAAATCCAAGTGCGTTTGGAGCGCTTTCCAGATAGAAGTGTAGATTTTGGTAAGTTCTTGTCGGAGAGTGGGACAATTTACTCTTTACAACCAAACAGCTGGGAGAAATGCCGAAAACGAAAGTGAGTAATCTTGAGACGATTTTGCTGAAAACCCTGATTTTGTATAGTTCTTCTCAGAGCTCGGCTGCTGGAACCAGGGAGATTTTGTAACGAAGCTCTTTTTGAGATTGAAAATTTTTACGAATCCATAACTTTTGACCCCTCGCACTACCACTTAGTTGTTTTCTTTACCTGTGCTGTCGCTCCACCCTCAAATAAATGCTATGGTAGACCCCCCCCCCCATTTACCTTATTTCAGAGATTCAAAAGTTTTACTCCGTGGTCGAAGCCTGAAACCTATTGATCCTTGTCTTCTCCCCTCCACTCCCTCTCACTTTCCACGTCTATCCCTTTTTCTCCCTACTCTATCCACCTCCTCCTTCCCTCCCTGATGACAGAATTGTATAAGAAAAAAGAACACTGAGAAAGGGAAACAGAAAGGCAAGCATAGTCATCATCACGGTCAAGCAAGAGGTGTGGCACACGATCGCTGGTTACGACCCCCCCCCCTCTTATTGCCGTCTCAATAAGACCCCCTAAACTATATACCTAAGATAGCATTACTCAAAGGCCCTGTCAAACATAACGACAACATATCCATAATTAGCATGTTAATTAAACCCTGTAGACAATGATTAATTCTGAAGTTTCAAGATACTGGATCACCTAACAAGGGAATGGTCAGAAGTCGAAGTGGCCAATCTATGGAAGCTGCACACCATTCGATGCAGCATAAAATGCTGATTTCAAATCTGTCTTCCGTATCTGCAGAGCTCCTTTGTAAGCGAAGTTATGATCAGCCTCAGTGCGAAAAAATCGTACACAAAAATTGCGAGATTAGGCACATTACTGCCCTTTTCGCTCACCTTTGAGTATGAGCCATATGAAGAGACCTAGTTGCATGTTTTGGTCCAACATTGAGCCGAGAGTGGCTATGTACGGCCAAGTTTGACCTTTACACGCACGATTTCCTAGCAAAATTATGGCCTTTAACGGCTTATAATTTCGTCCACAGAAGCGCTCTGCAGATAAGGAAGACAGAATTAGAGTCAGCGTTTTATGCTGCATCTAATGGTAGCAGCTTGTATGGATTGGCCACTTCGATTTCTGACCATTCCCTTGTAAGTGAAATCGCCATTTTCCAGCATGATTAACTTTGTTTCAAAGGTGAAGTAGCTAGCTATTTTGCACTCAAGACAAAGCACTACTCCTACTTTGGCCAATTCAAAAATTCGCTTCAAAAGACCTCTTAACTTTGAAATTAGAAGCCAACCAAAATCTTGTTTTTCCTATTTTTCGCTTTCAATGGCTGTAATTTCACCAAATATTACTCAGATTCAAGAAGACGAATCAGGCTCAAATCAATCCCATGAAATCTGCGAGCTCTAGACTACCTAATCATATAAATAACGTTCTCAAAAAATGTTTTTTGATGTAGTTAATGGGGTGTGGCACCACCCCTAAAAAGCTGTGGCTGCCACAGTTTTAGGGGTGGTGCCAAACCCCATTAACTTACCTTCAAACAGATCAAATAGCTGCGTTTTTTATATCGTTGTTACTGCTTAATCTTCTTCTTTGCAAAGCAGAAATTTCATATGAAACCGTTTCACCAAGAGCAAGATATAATATAATCGTTTTTCCTTACCTATGCAAATGTAAAATACTGGTAAAATACTGCGAAAATATTGGGATACAGTAAAATGCTAAGTCTGCGCTACTATGTGAATCGCAAGGGAAGGCGACAAGAAGTATATATTCGATAGTCTAAACCTCGCAATCTACATTAGAGTGATTTGAGCCTGATTGGTCTTCTCTAGCTTTAGATATTGAAAACGAAAAATGGAACAAAATGAAAAATGGAGATTTTGGCTTGCTCTTAATTCCTTAATTTGGAGATCATTTGAAGGAGGAATCCTAATGTGAGCAAACAAATAGTAGTTCTTTGTTTTAAGCGCAAAAAGAAATAGTTAGCTTACCTTTGAGACAAAGTAACGTGTTTGAAAACGACCACCTCACTTAGGTAGTCCTTTATTTGGAAACCTCAGAATTCTGTTTGCTAATTACAAAACGATGTTCTTGTGCCTAATAGATCTTCAATTATGCTTACTGTACCTATACAATGGGTCAAACATCAATGTGCTAGTATTTTGCATGACGGGCCTATTTGACATTGTTAACGAATATCATGTTATGCGAACAGCGGACGCCTTGATAACGACCCCCCCCTCCTCTCTGATTCCTTAATACGACCCCCTCCCCCTCAGGTATGACATGCCACACCCCACGCTTGACCCTGGTCATCACTGAACGTGGTTCACGAGTGCAGAATGAATGCCAGTGAAAATATTTTGAGAGCTAAATAGTCTAAAGTAAAGATTATGAAAGTGTTCTTTGCTTGTATTAGAGATTCCGAAGTGGAATTGTAACTTATAAAAAAATTATGACCAATTATCGAGCAAAGGGTCGAGTAGAGCTCAACTGATAACCAGGTGAAACGGTTACGCTACGAAAAAAAAACAATCAAGCACGGCTTCCATTCTTATTGGTTTTCATAAACTTCTGGGCCAAGTTCGAGCTCCCTCACGCCATGTGCCATTATAAAGAGCTTTGATACATGTCTGTGAGACTTTTTCCAAGGCTTCGCCTTAGACTCTCAAACGATATTCCCTTTGCTTTTCCCCCAGAAACAATATCCAGCTTGTCCCGGTCCCGGTTCCAGCTTCGCCGAGCCCTGGTTCCTCTGATTCAGGTTTTTCCAGGCGCTTTAAACATCGAACAACGAGACCTGGTACAACCGACAAATACTACTGTAGTTACTGGAGTAGTGCTATCTGCTGATGGCGCTGATCGGTAAGTTATGATGTTATTACAATGTTTGCTACATTTTGCAAATAAAAGAAATGGTTGAAGGTCTCATCATCGATCCATAGCAATTAGACTTCTGAATAGTAACATAGTGGGACGACTTTTTGTTGCCCTGCGCTATGCAGCAAACAATACACAAACTAGAAACAAAAACAAGTAATCGTATTACGACTAACATAAGAAACTTTCCAAAACCGTCATCTTCCAACTCAGCGCTGAGCAAAAAATTTCGACCCTGGCAGGACTCGAACCTGCAATCTTCGGATCCGAAGTCCGACGCCTTATCCATTAGGCCACAAGGCCTCGATGCTGGTAGCGTCGAAGAGTAAGGAGATGCCGCGTTCAGAAGGTTTTCTTTTCTACTAAGTGAAACCACTTTCTTTCGATTTATGCACCATAGATCATCTAATGCAGAAATGTTCATCTTGTTTTGTACTGGGAAAGTTTCATTGCGTTTACCTTACGGTCATCATACCTTTGACCCTGATGAAACAATGCAGGGGGAACAATTTTACATGTGCTTTCATAGAGTCAAGGCTATTCTTGAAAAATCTCTGTCAGTCAGTAGTTGGATTCTTGATATAGTCACTATTTTGTGGGATCAAGCGATACACTTCCGTTATCCACATCAGCTAGCACTTAGGCTGCGTTCATACTGATCCCGAAGTCCGGGAACAGTTCCAGCACAGCGCTTGATATGAGCGCTGCGCTGAAACTGTTCCCGGATTTCGAAATCAGTCTGAACGCAGCCTTAGGAACTTGCTTCGTCGCCTATGCAAATGATCGTGATCAGAAAGCGAGGCTTTACTAATCAATTGATAGAATATAATCACTATCTGGGAAGCATGACAGAGTTCTGCAAATCGTTTTTACTCTATGATAATCTTTGTATTGGCCAGCACTAAACAAACAGATTCTCACTCACCTTGCGGTTTTCCACAAAGCATCGTGTTTCCATATGATAGTTGGTTGAAAAGGGAGCGTTCATGCTTATCCGATATTCTTTGCTGCAACGTAATTTGAAACGAGACAAAAGTAAGTCTTATTATAAATCTTCAAGGGTTCATGTGGTACTGCGGAAAGATACATTTCGCCAACGTTACAAGACTTCTGTCATTGTGGGGAATGTTATACGATATTTCGACAACATGAATATACAGCGATTCAGAGGTGGGTTGTTCCCCTTGATACATCTTACATGCCTACCAAAACACCTGTTATTTTTGGGAGTGACCGTCTATGTCAACAATGTCGAAAAAGGTCAGTCGGAAATTTACGTAGTCCTGGATGAAGCACAAATAGGAATGCGAATTCGTGAAACATACGCCATTGACATTGACAGGAGATTTAACTATATGGAAAGCTTAGGCCTGCTAGATTTGCAGATTTCCGTACCTCCTCAATATAAAGTCGTGAGTTTATTTGTTGGAAAAATGTGACTTTTGGTACACTGGTAATGTTCTTGAGGGAGTCATGCCCAGAACGCAAGACATGCCAAGAGTGGAAGGCCTGATCAATCCATTCCCAGATGAACCATTCCAACAGCAGTATTCGCAGCTTACTTGGACTAGTGTTAACGAAGCGGGAGTCCGAACGCAGGTTATGCGATGTAAGCACATATAAACAGGCAGTCGTTCAAAAATTTTCATTTGGACGTAGGGGAGGGGGGGGGGGGTGAGGAGTGAATGGAGGAGTGAAAAGGATTTTATTTTAAAAAAAAGGACGTGGAGGCCATACCTTTTGAGAAATATTAGCAAGTTTGAATGCTCACAACCGGAAAGTTCCAGTAAAGAATATGTGGCGTTTACTTTTCCTTTCTCAAAGATGTTTACTGCAATGCTGATCATTTTCCATAATTTTGAGCGTATGTGGACTACTTTCACAAAGGGCACGTTCTTATCCACTCCTCTGCAAGTCAGAGAGGGGTGGAGGGAGGAGAGAGGGGGAGGAGGCGAACAGCTGGAAAATTTAACATTTCAGCACTGGTTCACACATCTAGTTGTGGTAAAATGCGAAGAGCGCCAATAAAATGAATTTGTTCAGATAGAATAAAAGGTGAGTTGGAAGTGATGAGTGTCGTGACGCAATCAGAAGACGTTACGGATCTTTTCACCTCAAGAAGCGACCGGGAGACTTTGTTCCAGGTAACCTCGAAAACATTACACTTGCCTTATCATTTGTTGAATGAATTTTTGAGGCGTTTGCTGACCATTATTTGAAAGGATCAGTATACAAAACCGCGTCAAAATATCATACGTAGGTATAAATCTTACGTCTTCGACTATCATAATATTCATTATTTTCTTTCAGCCCGGAATACACATTCTATCCTCAAACGGAGATGCTGTTCAGAAACTTTCTAGAATTTTGCAGAACTCCAAGAAGTGGGCTTTTTAGTGGAAGTTCGTGTTTGGTCTTTTTTCTTCCTAAGACCTTCAACAGGAGATCCTGACTACGAGTATCCCGAAGAGCGTCAGCTTTACTTGCGGTGTCCAATCGACCTTGCCTCATTGGAATCAGACTGTGGCAACGATGTGGCTTGTCTCTATGATGCCGTCATGCTGCAAGTAAGTTTCATCCTTTTTCAAAGAAAGTATTTCCTTAGGCTTTTTTAGGCTCGTCTATTGGGTGAGGAAGCACGAACCTCCTACAATTACTACCTCACACAAAGACTAGAAAGCGTAGCAAGATGTGAGTTTGAGCTTTGATGCTCACTACATATTACATAATGATCAGCACTCTTGACAGACAACTCTTGCGGAGCCATGAATATTGAATATCCGGAGTATCTTATCAAAGGACCATCCAGTGGAGAGCCTGCCTATCTTGAGGGGGATAAACTTTCATTTAGCTGCTTCCAGACACACGTTCTCATGGGAGACACCGAATTTCAATGTGAGTCATTCAGCTTAAGAAGGATAATTCGTTGCACAGTCGTGCATTAATACAATCTGTCAAAGTGCGTAACCCGGGAAGTCTTTCTATTTTTCATGCATCAGGCAACTTCGGCTTGCTAGTTTTCGACCAAGTTTTGCTTGAGGATAATGTGTTTTCCCCAGCGATATGCGGAGAGTAAAAGTTACTGAAAGATAAAGGCACTGTTAAAGGCACTATATTTATCATCTCTCACCACGTTTGACAACTTTTGAGAAGTCTTAACTATAGAACAAGAGGGGAACCTTATTCATTTGATAAGGTCAAAATTTGAGCCTTCGTTGTGAAGCACTGCTTTTTGTACACTCTTGCTATCAAAAACCTTCATGCGATTAAGCAGCTGCATCTTTTATTTGGCTAGAAAAAACCGTACTTGCCAACTGTAAAGAGCAAGAATCACTCAAGCTTTTCCAAGGCAAGATAAGATCAGCGTCGAGTACTGTTGTATGCTTTTTCTTGATTAATTTGCGTACACGGACACGATCCCATGTGTGTGTTCTCTTCGTCCGAGAGCTTTTTTAGACTACGGTACAAAATGGGTCTCAAATACATACAGAGGGAATTTGGAAGCAGAAACGATGATAAACTCAAAAACTGTCTAAAGGAGGGAAGGGTTCTGAGACGAAATGGCGTTTCTGAATGAGACTCATATTATCACTCTAAAAAGCATTGCACGATGGCTCCAAATCTGCCTTCGTTATCTGCCAAGCGCCTCTGGACGCCGAGTTATGACCGTTTTTTGGAAGAAAAATGAATGCAGAACTTAAATGAAATACAATTTTTTACGATATTTCCAGCGCTCAGATAAGGCAGTGTTAAGTACTAGCATATTAGACAAAACGTATCCATTGCATGAACTGCTCTGATACTCGATACCGGACCGTTTGAGCAAATTTGGACGACTTCGTTCCAGTTTTGCGTTCTGTTTTTTGACCTGAAACCGTCCATAACTAGGCGTCCAGAGGCGCTTGGCAAATAATGAAGGCAGGTTTAAATCGCTGTGCAATACTCTCCAAAGCAGTATGGGTCTCATTTGAATTGGCCACTTTGACTAAACACGCTTTCCTTGTAAGTTTGAAGCAAGCTGTTCTGTGCAATCGATGTATAGGGCATCTATAAAATCGTGACGACAAATTCGATTGCGTTCTGTTTTTTTCTATGCTCTCTTCCAAGCTAAAATGAACGTGAAGCAGCTAACATATATACGCAAAGAATGCTTTAAAAAGAGAAAAAAGCAAAGAAAATGCGAACTACGAATGATCATTGTCCAATTAGACAAATCAACTTGTTTGCAGCTTTTATGAATGGGTGTGGCGCGGAAGGGGACGACTCAATTTTGTGCCCGTCTAACTCCTCGGTGCTAGTGACCTGGCGGGAGACTAGGAGAGGGAGAGGGGGTGGGCGGATACACGACTCGCTGCCGCAAGTAAAATTCCGTAAAAGCCAGCTAAGGGGATGTTGCGCCGCCCCCAATTTGCATTTATTATCGCCTTCCCCCCTCTCCCTGTGAGTTATTACAAGCGTCGCCATTACCGCTTCACACTTTAGCGGTCCTGACACGAATAAAGCTAAAAGTGCATCTATTGACTGCGTTCCCACTGGTCCTCAGTGTCGGAGTTCCAGTACCTCGCAAATGTGCTGAAACTTACCACAAAATTCTCAGCTGCGCGCAAGCGACTTCAAGTAACAGGGAATGTTGTTTGCCCAGTCAAAGTTGCTCTCCCAACATCAATCGTCCTCAGCTTAATCAATCTGTTATCAAAGAATCGCGCATGTATCGAGACACTCCTGAGATAAGCATATATAGCAAACTTGCGCTATGTCTACTTTATCCTCCACGGAACTAATTATTCAGCACGCAAAAATTTTCCAACTGCCGTTAATGCTGTGCAGCTAGCACACTAAGCTTTTTCTAGTATTATAGTATTATAATAACACAGAGCTCAAGTTAACTAATTAGGCAGAAGAGTCAGAAACGAGGACGGTACAACATGGCGTATGCAGTGGACACAGGGTGAACAACCATGGTGCAGACATAGGTACGTTATCAGATAGTCGCATTCTTTAGCATCATAAAGCGGCGATTTCTAAGACTTTAATCTCAAATTTTAGAGCTAAGGATAACATCCTCACTTGGCTGCTTTGGACAGCCGTGGCGTTTGGTATACTCTTTCTGATCATTGGTGTGTTCGCTGTGTGCTGGGGCGTCAAGCAGGCTGATCGCAGAAAACGAGGATATCTGAAGGTTGCAAATGGCCGTAGTCGTGAGACTGTGGGTAATAGGGAGATAGTTTTAAACTTGAAAAAAAAATGGATGCGTTTTGGAAAGCAACATTGAAGTTATATCTGTATTACATCAAAAACGCCACTGAAGCATGAGTAGAACACGGCAAATGATCAACTTTGATACAGTGCGATGTATAATAATTTGGTGTTTTTTGGTATGATTATGGAGATAATTTTCGTTCGTCAGAGTGCAGTGCATGTGAAAACCTAGACTTTGAAAACTTGCATCCACTAAGCACAAACATTGCCATGCAAGCGCTTTAAATTGGAAATAGGCAATCTTGAAGTCTCTTGCTCTGCAAACGTTAAATCGTATCAACAGTTTATTTTCTGGAGCTTTGCGACTTTGCGCTGAATCTTTTCCCAGCTTTGAGAATAATAAGCCAATCATGACATATCTAAAAATTGGAGACTGAATTCTACTTTAACATCGCACTTTAACAACATTTTACTTACACATTTAACCCCAAAGACATAGCTGATACCTGCATCTCTCAAATTACAAGTGTCTGAACAACTTCACCGCATAATCCGCGTACTGCAGTACTAAATAGATTGATATAGATTAAACCCATGCATTAAGGAAATTCTCAATCATTACGAACAACCGAAGGACGGTGGTATGGGAGCAGGCGTGCACGGATACGGTGGCAGAACTTCTCGTGTAGGAGCTAGAGGATACGAATCCGAAACTTCTGGTATGGGTGCTACTGCAATCTCTGGCGGAATCTCTGGCATGGAAGTGCTTGAGAAAGAGCCGAGAAGTCGTACAACAATTATACGAAGGACAACGTAAGCGCTGTGGTTTCGAGAATATTTGATACTAGCTGGCTTACCCGGCTCCGCCGTATCCGGACCAAACTTGGCACACATACACTTCGGGCCCCGGCGCGTGTCATAGTCCACTTTTCGTTATCGATCGATGTCGATTTTACCGATTTTTATCGATTTTTTCGCAGAGTTCACCTACAGGGCTAGGAGTTGGCACAGGGGGGAAGTGAGCATGGGGATTCCGAATACAATATTAGTTTTCAGAATTATCGGTTACTTTTATTGATTTTATCGATTTTTTGTAAATTTTGACATGCGATGCTGGGATTTTGCACAGAAGGGTAATCGAGCATGCCGATTACGAACACAATATTAGTTTTCAGGATCGTCCATTACTTTTATCGATTTTATCGATTTTTTCGTAAAGTTTGACCTGCGGGGCTGGGAGTTTGCACAGGGGGGTAATCGAGCATGCAGATTACGAATACAATATTAGTTTTTGGAATTATCCATTACTTCTATCGATTTTATCGATTTTGCAAAATTTGAGCTAGGGGGCTGGAATTTGGCACAGGGGTGTAATCGAGCATGCTGATCACCCCCTTGGGGATGATCAGCATGCTCGATTACCCCCCTGTGCCAACTCCCAGCCCCCTAGCTCAAACTTTGCAAAAAATCGATAAAATCGATAAAAGTAATCGATAATCCCGAAAACCAATATTGTATTCGGAATCCCCATGCTCGATTACCCCCCTGTGCGAACTCCCAGCCCCGTAGCTCAAACTTTGCAAAAAAATCGATAAAATCGATAAAAGTAATCGATAATCCTGAAAACCAATATTGTATTCGGAATCCCCATGCTCGATTACCCCCCTGTGCCAACTCCCAGCCCCGTAGCTCAAACTTTGCAAAAAAATCGATAAAATCGATAAAAGTAATCGATAACCCTGAAAACCAATATTGTATTCGGAATCCCCATGCTCGATTACCCCCCTGTGCCAACTCCCAGCCCCGTAGGTGCACTCAGCAAAGAAATCGATAAAAATCGATAAAATCGATATCGATCGATGACGAAAAGTAGCCTATGACACCCGCCGGGGCCCGAAGTGTATGTGTGCCAAGTTTGGTCCCGATCGGTTCAGAAATGGAATTTTCTATTCGGAACATACGTACACACATACATACAGACAGACATACAGACAGACATACAGACAGACAGACAAACAGACATTCAGCTTTATATATAAGATTAAAGTTTTACTTTCAGAACCTCGCCAATGTACTCAGTGCAATCTCAGTCTCAATCGCAGTCTACAGTCAGCCACGGTTCTATAATGATTCGTTTACCCGAATACTCTTCCGTATAGCAGCTTCAATGTGATATAAACTTCCCCGTGTTCTTTCAAAAACTCATTCTTTCTTGAGGTCATACTATGTGCAATGTACACTGCCGGCGTAGGCTCTATATTTATGATCTTGCAATAATGCTCACCAAGTCTGCTTACATTTTTGTTCAGTTGAATAAATATATTTCGAAGAAAGCTTTGTAAAGTATTTAGCATCACCTCGAGCTATGGGAAAAACATAGAAGCGGCATTTGAAATACTATAAACGTCTTTTCAGTAACAATAATGATCGTCCTTGCAATGCTAGTATTTACCATCTTATTTGGATAAATGCTTTCAATGCTCGTTCCTGCCGCTACGGAAAGAAACAGTCAAACCAATGCTGCAGAGGCGAAAAAAATGAATAAGACAATCCATGCAGAGACTTGGTCAGGAGATAAAGGAAAGTATCACTAGATCCAACCTGAGCTGTCAAGCAATCATAAAATGTATTGTAAAATATTCAAAATAAGAATAACAAGTATCAGGTGTAATCTGACTTGATATTCTCTAATTATTAGAAAAAAAGCCACTCAAGCCACTCAACCACTTTTTGAGATTTTTACCTTATAGGTTAGTTTCTCCACATATCTATAAGAAACATTCATCGGTTTTGATGACGAGAATTCACAGTCATTTGATGTTGCCCTAGGTTTTCAACTCTTGTTGGAGCTAATCCAATACATCACAAATTTGCAGCCTCCGTGTCTCCATATGTGAATTCGAACCTGTAAAGTAACGAGAATGATTGGATTTCATCTTCACGATATCTTCATTCCATGACAACTGCTGGAAATCCAACAACGCTCTTCGCGTAGAAGCGTAATCAGTTTGCTGATAAGTTGGCAGCTCTTTGTTCTGTGTAGTTGAGTTCACTACGTTCGCGAATGCTAACTAGAAAATGCTGATATAATACAGATAAGATTGCCTTCTTCGTGGTTAATATAAAAGGTGATTACATTAGCGGTAAAGCAGCTCTTCTGCATGCATAATGAACTGCTTTTCTTTCTCTTTCTGTCACATCTTTGCTTCCCCACTGCATCGTGAAATGTTGCCATATTGCTGCAAGTTGTGAATTTATACACTTTCAGAAATGTACTCTGCGAATCTTATCGTCTTTTTGTTCCTTGTTGCTGCCGCGTTCGCTTGTGATACTCAATGGCCAAATGGAACTGATACTAAAGTTAGCTGGTACCAATGTAATAATGGTCCCATCACCTTCTTCAATGTCACTCCTTTTGATACAGATGGTAGGAGCTTTACAACTTTTCTCCTGTTGTGTCATAAAAAAATCGTGTAATACTTCTTCAGGCAACTATGAATACCCTGTTCATCTGAGTAAGCCACTAATTATCAAGGCTGACATCAATAACCCAAAGACCACTTACGGATCTCCAGCTCTCAAGCAAACCACAAACATCTGGAGTTGGTCTTCTAGCTGCAGCTGGAGTTCAGTACCCACATTTGGAATGCTGTAAGTGATTAACCAGCTTGTCTTGCCTTACTTTTATCATTCTTACTTTCTTTGCAGTAAAAACCTTGACGCTTGCACCAATGGCATCCCGTGTCCTATCAAGACTGGCCGTCAGTACATGAACATTGTGAACGATTTCTCACCCTACAGTGCAATCATCAACCTGTTGAAGGATGATGCTCCATACCAAATGCAAGTGATACTCCATGATGAGACCAGCAAAGCTGATGTTGCTTGTATCATCTATCAGGCTAGAGCTAGAATTCAATAGATGTAGAGAATATTATTGTTGACAGGATTAAATCACTATGGGTACTCGCATTCGATCTGCCAAGTAGAATCTGATATTTGTCAGTTGTATATCTATAAAATAATAGAATTATCTTACAAGTCCCATGTTATTATTATCTTCAAGTTGAAAATTGTAATAGTCTATCATTAGCTAAAACCACAGTTTTGAGCGCTTATGAACGATATTATGCACGGAGAAAAAGCCTTCTGACTGTAAATTAGGATAGGTTACAAGTTGACTTGACTGAAAAGCCGATAGGCGTAGTAGAGATCTCAACGTACTTACGAGCAAGTTACTTTCTTGGACAGTGCGTCGCTGAACTATTTTTGAGTATAATGACAACATAGCTTAAAGCTCATTTAAGATCTGTGCATCATTCAAATAGAAATCACTCATAAAAAAGAGAAAAAAGAGCAAAGTAGCAAGTTTGTGGAAGAAAAAAATGGTAAATCGTTGTTTCCAAGGAGTCTGATATCAAAGCCCCAAATCTATATTCTTATAAACAAAGGACATTGCAAACGACAGAATCGCGAAATAACAAAGTACATACGTTGAAAATTGCACAACAAGAAAGATGCTCTACTTGATTTAGTTTCGCTTAACTGAAAAATCTCAACTAGCCGAATTTCAGTCATCTGCGTGAAAATGTAATTTGAAGCTGCAAAATCTTGGCGTGCATGACAAACTTACTGCAGATTCATCTACCGAGCTTAAAGATCTTGTTCAAACATGATTCTCCTTTATGAATGGCGAAACAAACACAAAATTCAAGAGGGATTTCGATTGCTAGTGCAACCGTGACTGTTGTGACCATTGCGAAATAGTAGCACTTCCCAGAAAAGGAAGTAATGGCATTTCCGGAAAAGGAAGATAGGGGCCAGTAGTGCACCCCTGTTCACCGCAACTCGGCTGTGCGGGCCTACTTTGAACGCAGGACGCCTCAGTCCGGTATCCAGTGAGCTATTAGCCTAGATGCGATTTGCTTTTCAAACACAAAAACCTTGTGCGCTTTCAAAAGAAGACGTCTGCACGTCTTGAGTAGTTTGCTCCAATGTGGGTAGGTGATTGCGAGCCCGTGCGACCATAGTTCAAGACCGCCTAGCGGAAAACTTTTGCGGCATCGCCTAGCAATTTCTGATAGAGGCCACAAGAGAAGTTTTTTGAACAGGTCTGGGCAAAAAACTTTCAAAAGGAAACTAGCCGTAAGGTGCAGTGCTTAAAGGCAGCGTCCAGGCAGATCTGGGCCTATGAAGATTCTACGTGGAAAGTACTTTTGGGGCTCTAACTAAGGCACTACCCAAGCGGCAGCGCAGGTAGTGCTCTAACGGTTGAGATATACCCCTCGAAAGTGGACCCCGCGATCGTAGTCGCATGGATTCATGGCAGTTTCGCGCCAGGATCCACGCTTTGCGCCATGAATTCATGCGAATTACGATCGCGGGGTCAATTTCGAGGGGAATATCTCAGCCGTTAGAGCACTACCTGAGCTGCCGGTTGGGCAGTGACTTAGTTAGGGCCCCAAAATTACTACCCTTCCCATGTGTCCTGACTTGCCTGCACGCTGCCTTTAAAGGCAGTGGCTCGGCAAAACCAAACATTCGAAAATTTGATATGAAGGTTGCCTGTACCCCAAACACAAGAACAGGGCAGGTCCGAGCTCAAGGCATGCTGCCCCTGCCTAGAAAACCGCACCTAACCACGCGCAAGCCATTCATACACGCGCTCGGACGAGCTTTCGACACCCCTCTCATTGTCAGAGGCGGCATGCAGCAATGCTATAAACATTAAAGTCCCGTAACGACTCTACGTCTCTAGCCTAGAAGGGCAGTGTTTCACTCGTCCAGATTCAAAATGAGGGGCCTTAAAAAATGCTGCTTTTCTGCCATTTTAGCGCTCTGCAAGGTGGATTTTCGGATCTAGCGCGTCGAACTGCCCCAGGTAAGCGGAAAAATTCCAGGTCGAGGATTTGCCGGCCACTGCCTCCAAGTGCTGCCTATTCAGTACGACTAATCTGTCTGAAACCTTATTCGCATTAAATCCATTGGGTATTAGTAATGCTTTTTACAAAAATGAGGTGAATTCTGGCAACTAGAAGCTATCCGCATGACTCTTCTCGAACTTTCAATTCATGAATGTTTGGACTCCTATCACGTTTTTGAGTTTTCAGTCGAACTTGCCCGATCATGCTTCCAGCGTTTACATCTACTTGAAAAGATGCGAAACTTTCTAGTAGAAACGCGAAAATTTTCATGAAGACAGCAGCGCTTGTTTATATAAACGAAAAAGAAAGAATTGTGATTATGTTTATATCACATTAAAACGAGAAGTCAAATATTAATTCTCTTCAAAAGCTGCACAACAGGTACAATGTTGTACGAAGAAACATAAACGGAGTCTGTTGATGTTTGCGTTGCAAAGCTCGAGCCATTATGTACGTATAATGTCTTGGTTTTCGGTACCTCCTCAGATAATCGCCGGGGGCAGGCGGTCGTGCGATTTATAGGCAGGGGGACCAGAAAAATATTTCGCTGTTTTGTGGTGCGCTTGCAGATATTTGGAAAAATTTTGGCGAAATTTTAGATGAATGCTCGGAGAACAATCGCGGCCTTTTCATGGATTAGTTGCGGCGCAGGGGTCCCATCTCGCGGACATTCCGCGATAATATGCAAGATTTTTGAGGACCGCACGGTCCTCAAATATCTTGCATATTACCCTCTACCTTCCCTCTGCGTATGGCAGGAACTGTTTAACAAGAGCCACAGCACCCGCTGAGAATTTGGCCGGCGCTTGCTAAAAGGAATTACTTGACGATCGCTTGCAGAGAATTCTGTTTTGCTGCCCGCTGGCAGAAGCAACAGTAGAGGAAGTACCGCTCGCTGAAGGTTTGGTCACGCTCCTAAATTCTGCCCACCGCTTGCAGAAAAGCGCGAATTCGCGAACCGCCTGCCCCGGCGATTATCCGAGTCATCTTCAGTCATCTTACACTGCGTCTTCCACTTTTGGCTTTTATAGCATACCACAATTGTCATATATCAGTTTGCAATGCAATATAGTTGCATAATCTGTGGACCCTGGCACTGTCAGTGCATGTGAAGTCATAGGACTTGTGGAAAACAATCTTGGACAGATTGAATATGCGGTAGACTGAATTAGTAATTTGGGGTGAGACTAAAGATACCAAACACATGTAGTAAGGTTCATTACTGCAAAGAATATATTTAAGTACTGTTCCTCTAGTTTGTCTCTTAAAATACCACAAAGATAAAGCAAAAATATAGCCTTTTGTGGGCGAGACCTTGGATTTGATTAAATTCAGTTTGGAACGTCTCTGCTCTGCTTTAGAGATAACAGCAAGCAGAATTATCAACGATGGTCCACTAAAAGGAAATTTGGACCCTGAATATACCAAAGAATTGCAGGTTTATTCAGAGATTAAGTTATTGTGCAGCGCATATTCTCATCTCCAAAAAAATTAAAACGAAGAAATGCATCCCTGGCGAATCCCAAAAAGCCCAAAAAGAGGCCAGAAATTAACTTCTTCACCAACCCAACTGTATCTTGAAATTCGAGAGTTTAAGATATATATTAGGTTGGTCCGAAAGTTCTTGCGCATCATTTTCAAAAAATGATAACTTCCCTGCCACCCGATGGATTTCGACAAAATTATACCCATTCGAACAAGGAACTCATGCTCTTTACAGCGGTGCCTTTGCCAAGAATTACTTTGGTAAACTTTGAGAGTTACAAGCAATTGAAGGAAACCAGTCAAGATTGGCAATTTTCGAGCTGGGTCACGAAAAATTCTGGAAGTATTTTTATTTGATAGAGAAAATTATGCCCATTACAATGGTACCTTTTTCATGAATTAAAACGAAAAAGATCGAGAGTTAGGAGCAAATAAAGAGAATTTCTTCAATTTTGCAATTTTTGAGCATGCTCAAAAAAGGATAAAAACGTCACGTAAAAGACGGAAAAGTCAAGAACATGGGTTTTGTGACCTTCTCCTTTTAGCTGAATGAATATCGTGCTAATCGAGAGCAATTTCGTTTTTCGTGAAGAACGCAGGCCCGAAAATCCGAAAAAATCACGAAAGACAAAATTGCTCTCGATTAGCTCGAAACTTGCTCAGCTAGAAAGAAAAGGTCACAAAACCCATGTTCTTGACTTTTCCGTCTTTTCTGTGACGTTCTTAGGCTTTTTTGAGCATGCTCAAAAATTGCAAAACTGAAGAAATTCTCTTAATTTGCTCCTAACTCTTGATCTTTTTCGTTTTAATTCATGAAAAAGGTACCATTGTAATGGGCATAATTTTTTTCTATCAAGTAAAAATACTTCCAGAATTTTTCGTGACCCAGCTCGAAAATTGCCAATCTTGACTGGTTTCCTTCAATTGCTTGTAACTCTCAAAGTTTACCAAAGTAATTCTTGGCAAAGGCACCGCTGTCAAGAGCGTGAGTTCCTTGTTCGAATGGGTATAATTTTGTCGAAATCCATCGGGTGGCAGGGAAGTTATCATTTTTTGAAAATGATGCGCAAGAACTTTCGGACCAACCTAATATGTATCAGTGGCGTACCTAGGATTTCAGCTCGGAAAGGGGGGGGGGACGGCAAAAATTTTTTTTCCAATGAAGGTACGTGGCGTCAGCCACGCACTCCGAAAATTTTTTTGGTATGCTTCCTGAAAATTTTTTTTATAGATTATAGGGCTAAAATAAATTTTTAAAAAATTTTAAAAAATATTTCAATTATTTACAATACCGTCTTCGGAGGCTGAAAAGGTGTCAGTAATAGTGACATACGTTCTGGGCTGCCAAACATCTCCTCCCATCTGTCATTGGATTCGTCTCAAGTGAAAATAGAAAGCTTAGGAGGAGCTGTGCACCCACCAAATGTATCACCAAAAAACGAATTGTAGTAGTTTCTGTGGCACGTTCTCCTACATATGCATCGTGTGTAGCAACTTCGAGATAGAATTCAGCTCTTCTCCTAATGCACCTGAACAGTGGCTATTTCGGATATCCGGAAATCGCTACCACATTCCATAGCGAGTAGAAGATTCTGCGAAATCTTTTTTGTTGAAAACTACCAAGAAGAGAATTACCAAGAATTCTTTGTCATGTGAAACAACATTTGATACGGTGCGACTAAAGGTCTGCCGCCGGGTGAAATTGCAAATGATGTAAGTTCATGCAAAATGTTGCAAGTCATTATTATGTTGAAATTCATGTTTAGTTTACCAAAAAGCTAAAATCTGGCTTTTTAAGCTTTATTTTGAGGACAGTATTTTTCGTAATATATACTCGTCTCGATACCATCACTCATTTTGATCCAAATTTTGCACATTATCGAAACCAAATTTTGTGTTCATCGACTTCAAAAGGTTAATCGTTTCAGTATCAAGGCTCTTATTTGAGCATTCATTTTAAGTAAAGTCTCTAACCGGAGATAAGTGTTTGCTCCTATGCTGAGCAGCTGCAGAATACAACGATCACATTTGACGTAATACCAGGTTGAATAGCTAGGCTGATAACGCTTGGTTCCGTAAAGTTAAGGTCACCTCGTACTTGAAGCGGAAAAAGCAGATAACGGCCAAAGCTTCATCAAACAACCGTTCGGTATAAAAAGGATGTGGAGAAATCCATGCTCTGCTTTTTCTCTTCCCCGTTTTTTTAGCTGAGAATCAAAGACCTTTTTTTAGAGATAATGACGAACACGGGCTTGGTTGTGTTTTTGGCTCTTGTTGCCATTTGCTCAGGATGCAGCATCACATGGCCAAATAAGACCGACACTGCAATTAGCTGGTACCAATGTAATAACGGCCCCATAACCTTTTTCAATGTCACTCCATATGATGCTAACGGTTAGTGCTCTGCAGTCTTGCTCCAAAGTAATTGATTTCGTAACCATCTATGTCTAGGTAAATACGAATACCCCGTCCATCTAAGCAAACCACTAATCATCAAAGCCGATATCAATAACCCAAAAGCTACCTATGGATCACCAGCACTGAAACAAACTACGAACATTTGGAGTTGGTCATCTAGTTGCACATGGACTTCAGTGCCTACATTTGGCATGCTGTAAGTGAATCACAAACTTAATGTTTATAACTCATCAGTTTTATCTTTTACAGCAAGAACCTTGACGCATGCACTAATGGCATTCCTTGTCCCATCAAGACCGGACGCCAGTACATCAACATTGTCAATGACTTCTCACCTTACAGCGCAATCATCAACTTGTTGAAGGATGATGCTCCTTATCAAATGCAAGTGGTGCTCCACGACGATACAAGCAAAGCGGACGTTGCTTGTATTACCTATCAAGCTAGAGCTAGAATTCAATGACGCATAGTTGATGATATGTATTAATATATTATTATGGGTATATTCCAATTTGGTAGCGATAATAAATCAAGATTGCTTTGGAAACATCAATCTGCTTAATCACAACTAACGACCTTACAGGGTTTTTTCTGAAAAAGTCCGATGTACATCTTCATTAGCAACCCTAGCGGGTTTTTCAAGCTTTTAGTAGGTCTTATTCAAAGCGATTCTTAGGATATTAGGACGGGACATAATTTTCTTCGATTTTCCGTGCGATTAGTTCATTTTGAATTTTGCTTCAAACTTCAGATAAATTAAACTTGGTGCGACACTCAAGCTTCACTCTGTAGAGCTTGCTTTGCTCTATCGAGTAGGGCGCTATTCACTTTTTTGATGTATCGTATGTTACAAATCAGCGAACCACTCTGATCTGACACTGACTACTTGTGCAATCACACTAAAGTGTGACACTACCCTCAATGAAGATTGGCAATATCGGTCTATGACACTTTATACTTTCACACCTCCATTCAAAAAGAAATGCGAGATCATAACAACATTATTAACAATAAATACTATAATATCACAGCTACTATCGTTCTCAACCAGCAGTACAGAAATCACAGCTTTTTCGGCAGTTTTTTCCCATCCATCTGTTGTGATTCGGATGATTGCACAAATCTTTGAGAGCCCATGCACCGCAGAAGACATTCGTATCATCGCAATCTGCACGAAAGAAATTTTTGCTAATCGAAATTTCATTCCAAAAATTGTACTCACTTGGTATACAATACATTTTATTCAATATGGCGACATCAGCAGCACTCATTCCATCTCGTTGTCCCAAAAGTCCAAGATTCCGTTCTGGGTCGACCTAGGAAAAATTTATCAATTTCATAACAAGAGAAAAATGCTTGCAAAGTGAAAGAAGTGGTTTTACCTTTGGTATCATCGTCGGCTTTGCAATATTTACGGCACCTGTATAAGCGTTATAGTGCATGATGCTACCGTAGTCGTATTTTATTCCGTAGCTGAAAGTGTGGGAATGATTGAGTGACACTAGCACTATATTAATACGATACATTACTATATAACCTCGAGTCGTTTGTAACTCAATATGTGAGATTGCACACCAAGCCCTATTACCGACGGAGTCCATATTGGTAACTTCCCAGTAAAACATTCTAGCCTAACAAAATGTAGAAATGTGTTCTACTGAATAACATAAAACCAATTAAGACAAAATAAACAAGGAAACAAATATAAATTACCAGAAATGAAGCAGGTTTTAGTTTCGCAGTTCGTCAGTTAGCGTGTATAGTGTGCACTATGCATATTAAGTTACAAATGATCGACGATATAATTTTCAGATTATCAAAAATCAAAATCATCAAATTATCACAATGATTCACTTTATAGAAATCATCAGAGATACGAATTATTCGACTGATCTGTCATTGTCTATCAAAAGATATCTTCTTGTTTTTACAGGGTGGGGCAAAAGTCTGGGAGCCTAATTTGCAGTGCTGTAAATCAGAAACTACCGATGTTTTTGACTCCAAATTTGTGCCATATATTGCTACGATCATCCTTTACAAATCACATTTTGTCTGGCTGAAAATGCTTGCCTATGCGTAGGAGTTGGGTTTATCAAACAAGAGCTTTGTGAAGCGAGAAAATCGAAATTTTTGGTCTTCACAACTTATTTCGTAGCCAAAGGTACAATGGATATTCTAGGGCACTTCGATGCATACAAGGTAGAAGAGGCTTTACGCTATCAGTTCATAGTAGTTGCGTTTGTCAGATACTATTCTTTCGAAAACGCAAAACAAAAATTTGCGAATGCTACCTGCGTGCCAGTGGCCATTTAACTCCAAAATAAATTTGAAAGCTATAGGAGCGCTGCAGACACTGAATTTTAGGCAATATCCTCTCCATGAGTCTTCTGTGCAAGCATATACTTGAATTCGATCGATCAAGCAATTTCAATATTTTACAAATCACGATTCTTGCTCCCTTTCGCGCAATCATCCAGAATTCGAATATGAGAGTAGACTTGCCTTCAATTGAAATTCCAAAAAAAATTTTTTCCTAAACACTGCAAAAAAAATTTCTTCGCAGTACGTTGTAGCCACAAGTTTGTTCTATCTCACCGCACATTTGCCTGGTGAAGGAAACAGTTATCGTAAAGGCGTGGGACGAATTTCATCACGACTGTCTGCGTGCTAAGACAGGCAGACTCGCCAAGATTTCGAAGGGCTGCTTTAAAGCCGGAAGAGGCAATCTCAAAATTGGAGAGCGGCACTGTATTTGTAAAAATTCGATTTATGTGTGCACCGAATTTTTTGTTCCTAGGCACTTTCCTTCTGATTTTATCTGAAAAAGTATTAGGCTCCCAGACTTTTGCCCCACCCTGTACTTGTTGATTTGATTTTTTGAAAAAAAAAAACTAAAAATAACAGAGGGTCTGGCTTATAGGTCGCACAAAGCAAATCTTGATTCTGTACAGTCAGTGACAACCCCAAAAATTTTTTTCGTGGCTTGAAAATTTTTCGAGAAGAATTGCGGAGTTTACGCAAATTTCAGAAACCAAAAATTTTGGAAACAATGAGCGCGGCTGGATAATTTGTTTTCAAAAAGCTAATCTAGACTTCTCTAAAATCTGTGAGATTTCCCATTTACATATTCAAACATAAATGTTACTAAAATGATTTTGTGACCGTGAATTACTTTAAAAAATTTGCGAATCATTCCCAAAGAAAAATTTGCGACTCATTCTCAAACAAATTTGCGAATCATTCTCAAGAAAGAATTTGCGACTTATTCCCAAGAAAGGACTTTACTATCACTAAAAGTGATAGCAAGTTCGAATATTTGTGCATTTTCTCCAAAAATGTATAAAAATCTTACGTTGTGAACATTTTTGAATCAGCAACGACAAAATAGTCGTAATGCTGTGGATTGATATTACTCCAATCAATCGTGAGATGTTTATCTCTGTCCATCCTCAAGTGTTGATGATTAAGACCAAGAGCATGAAGTGTTTCATGTAAGGCTATTCCTCGAGCCTAAAAGTAACGAAAATTCACAACTTCGTAGTAATAGTGCAATATTTCTCAACAAAAATGAAATGGAATGCAAGATGAATGACTTACTGTTCCGCATAGGAAACTGAGGTAAATGGGATTAGCCGGCTCCGTCCTTCCTATATACGAAAGACCGCAGCTAGAAAATGCATATAGCTTGTATCAAGCTTCACACAACTTTTAGGCTTACAAAGTTGGATTGTCGATTTTTATGTAGTTGATATGGTAACCCGTAGGTTTTTCCACATATTGGAAACGTAGGCAAGATTTTTGCTCAATCTCCCTCAGGGCACTGCGCACGTCATCTTTATCATACTCAGCTGAAACAATATTTTACCAAATAATCTTTCTATTTTTCGATTTACAACTGGAAACTCTCAAATAAAGGTCGTTTTTTACTTTCAACACACTTGAGAGAAAGACTAAGGCAAAAATCAAATGATAGAGTCGAAGCATGGTGCTTACCCAAAGTATCATCGAAGGTGTATGGTATCGGTGTGTTCGGATCCCATTTTTGTACAGGATTCTCTTCGAAGAACACTGAGGCTCTAAAATTCATATTTTGGAGATTTAACAATATACTGTGGGAGAATAAGTGCGAGAAAATTCGAAAACATATTTTTGGGTCATAACGATAATATTATACTTATAGGATTCAGTCTTACTGACTATTCTTTATCACTTAAAAAGGTCTTTCTCCCAAAAAGCGTTTGGTAAGGTCAACGAATCTTCTCTGTAGTACTAGTCCAAGTTTCAGTCAATGTCAATTACGTACTCTCTTTCACATGCAAACTACGCATACGCAGCGCAAAGGCCTGCGTGCGAACCTAAAATCGATGAGGCCCATTTGAATGCCCATTCATACGCGCGCGAACGTGACGCGAAGCTCATTGCGCTTACGGAAAAGGGAGCTCGTGATTGATACGGACTGTAGATGAATCTCTACTGAATTCTACATTAGCATCATTTCCACGAAACTAGAATATTGAACAAATTGCATTTGGAGATTTGAATTAAACCGCTCAGCCTCTTACAATCTTTTTTTTGCAATTAAAAAACCTTAAAATTGGTTCCTGCGCTAACCTCTTGACCTTAGCGATGCTGTCGTCAGCACTCGGTGGCGGTGGTGGCTCATCAGTACCAACACCTCCTTTACCAAGTTCGTTAAGAAGGAAGTGAGCTTGCTTCTCGGTCAGGAGGACGTCTTTGTCAAACACTCCGTTGTCAGCTGCTATCACCTTAAATGTTCGACATATTTTCAAACAAAATCAACAAATGATAGAAAGAGAGATGAACGTTATTTTGATTGATATTTGAACAGTTCAGAATATTACGATGCGTGTCGTCTTTCACCCTTCCTCATCTCCCTCTTCCAAAGTAATTTCCTTGGCTATAAAACCTACCACACCCGACAGATTAGCCCTTTCAAGAAGTGCTTGCTTGACTTGCATGGTCCTATCCAACCGAAGATTGATATTGTCAGTATTATCCTTTCCAGTCACAGTCTTTTCGAAATCGTAAAGCTGCAAATCAAATTTTCAAAGGTCGAACTGAATCTCCGCCACGATTGGGACCAACCTTCTTGACTACCGTCTCTTTGAAGGCTATCTGGTCCGGTGGTTGTTCCATGCATTTAAAGCTTCGGCACACATTCTATAGTGATTGATTTCAATACTGAATGGAATGGGTTGTTTACTGCTTACTCTGATATGAACACCCGCTTCTGGAGGTATAGCACCAAGACGGAACATAAATTCTCTGGCTGCGTTGACTAGATCTGGATTTACACCTTGCAAAGGATCGCGAATGAAGAGCCTAAAAAATAAAAGCCTTTGGATTGAGCAATGAGACAAAATAGCCAGGTATCTAACTTAAGTGAACCATCAGTCGTTGCTTCCTTTTTCTGAGGAACGAAAATAAGGTTGACACATTTGCATACCTTGGTACCCTCGGTAAGAATTGTCCTCCTTCTCTAAGGACTGTTTGAATGATGTTCTGGATCTCGCCAAACATCGGAATGTTACCGCCTCTGCAATTCATTCATAAATCACGATCTTCTACGGTTTTTCTACACAGGCCTTAGATTCTTGAAAATGTAATCAGCGCTTTCTGGTTGTCAAAAATGATTTCAAGAAAGTGAATTACTAAGACATGAATGTTCAATCAGAATGAATCCATTTCCATAACGAATTTCTTAGCTGGAAACCAACTCTCGAATGTTTTTTGTCTTAAAAAATCGGATGTGTGATTTTATTTACCAAATGATTTTCCAGTCAGAATAAATCAGAACCTCTCTCAAACTGCAAATTTTTACCTGCATCTAGGATGCCCAGGAAATCGTCTACAGAATCTTCGTGCACGTCTTCGCCATATGTGTTCGGGAGGAGGTGGACCACGTCCCCAGCCCTAAATAGAATTTTTAAGATTTTACAAAAACGAAAATAGAACCTACTCATACATGGGAAAATTACAGAATTGATTGATTCTCTAAGTGCAGAGTCAGAAAGCATGCTATAAGAAAACAGACAAGTGGAAGTGAAGTGGGAACGAAACGGGAACAGAAAAAACTACATTATCTAGGATCTCTACGTCATGCAACGGACAACGCAGTACCTTGTTTGCAAATGCAAAGCTAGTGAGACTTCTCTGGGAGCTTCTAGCCTTATTCAGGAACTAAAAATGTGTGCTAACTGATAATGATCAGGGCTCGGCACAGGTGGCTTACCGGGCAAGCTGGATATCGTTTTGGAGGTAAAAAGCAAAGGGGATATCGTTTTTGCGGAAGAGCATGCCGCTGTCTTGCGATCTGCTGCCGGCACGCTGCCGGCATGCCCGCAGCATGGTTCTTGAACAAACAAAGGGCTTGTTCACAGCGAAGTGAAAATGAAATGAAACCAAAATGGGTGTGTAGATGGGTAATGGGGAAATAGTACTATGTGCAAAAAATTATGAAAAAATTTTCACATAATTTTTTCACAAGTTTAGCACATCTTTGTTTTACATCAAAAACCCTATAAATGAAATTTTGAATCTCCCCAAACCCCTCGCCACCTCCTCGCCTAGTTACAGCCCTCTAAATATTTTGTATGGCGGCGGCAAGCCTGCTCCGAGCGCGCAACAGCGCGCCGGCCACAGCATGCCGCCAATTCAAAGAATACGAAATTCTTCGAATCTTTTTCGTTTGCTCATGCTGCTTTTAAGTTTTTTTCATTATTTTTTGTTATTCATGATTGATCCATTCCTGATCGCGTCACAGATGATGTCGTATTTGTGTAGCGAAATCGGCGGGGACTTCGTTTTTGCAAAATTGAAAATGAAAAAGCCACCTCTTGCCGAGCCCTGATAATGATCCACGAATTTGTGCGTAGTGTTTACATATCTACATGAATCTATAATACTAACTACTCTTGTTTTGCTTACACGTAAACTATGAATAATGTCTTCTCCATTCATGCCAATTAGACCGTCCGCAACATTTGCTGCCATTCTGCCAACTCCTTCTGCGGCTTCACTGAGGGCTTCCCCAAATTGACTCAATCTGTCGCCCTCAAACACTTTCTTCCATAGCTTTGGGTGTTTCTACTTGATTTTATGACGTAAGTCTGGCTCTTCTAAGTTTCTACCAACTATCGCTACACCTAAGAAACTTTTGAAGTGCGCTAACTCACCATAGAACCAGGTCCCGGACCATTTGGTGGTGACCATGGAGGCGGCGGCCCTCTTGGCGGCGGAGGAAACTGGCGCATTGGCGGACCACCCGGAGGAGGTGGACCCACAGGAGGTGGAGGACCATCACGATGATGTGGACCACCATGGTGAGGAGGACCACCAGGAAATGGTGGCCCGTCTGGTCCTCCCCAACCTCTAGGTCCGCCTGGTCCTTGATTTCCCCATCCAGGGCCTTGATTACCCCATCCTGCCTGACCTTGGTTACCCCATCCACCACCGTTCGCAATGCCACCTGTAATTTAGAGTCGTTACCAAAGGCACTATAATTTTCTCTTATAATTCGCTACCAGAGTACTTTTAGCTACTGATGGTAGAATATGAGTTGTTTCTCGATTTCCAAATACTAGGTGGGTGCAAAAGTTCGTTCGCCAGTTTTCAAAAGTCATAATTTTCTTTCTATTTGATGGATTTCTTCCACGTTTTATTCATCTGAAAGACGAAACCATTTTCTTTACAGCAGTGTCCTTGCCATGGATTGGTAAAGAAAGTTCGGGAGAGTGGTGCAATTGAACGAAATTATCCAAAAAGTGGCATTTTTCAAGTAGAGTCGCAAAAATTTATTAAGTATTGTTAGAGAGAAAGTTTTGCTTTTTGCTATAGCACCTTTCCTACGAATTAGAACGAAAAAGATCGAGAGTCAAAATCAAATAAGGAGAATTACTTCAGTTTTGCAATTTTCAAGCACTCTCAAAGAGCCTGAAAATGTCACAGCAGCAACTGAACAGTCATAAACATAGGTTCTATAACCTACTCTTCCTAGCCAGCAAGCTCCGAGCTAATCGAGAGCAATTTCGTTTTTCGCGATTTTTTCGGATTTTCGGGTCTGCTTTTTTAAGAAAATTGCTCTTAAACAGCACGAGACTCGCTCAGCTAGAAAGAGGAAGTTATAAAACCTATGTTTATGATTGATTCGGTTTTTGCTGTGACAATTTTAGGCTCTCTTGAGCATGCTCAAAAATTGCAAAACTGAGGTAATTCCCTTTATTTGTTTCTAACACTCGATTTTTCGTTGTGATTATGAGGAAGGTACTTTAGTATTGAGCGAAATTCTCTATCTACTTCCTTTTTCGCGACCCTGCTTGAAAATGCCAATTTTGAGTAATCTCGTTCAATTGCATCCATCTCTCGAACTTTCTTCTGCCATTTTATGGTAAAAAGTACAAAGAGAATGGTTTCCTCTCTTGAGGAACAGAAATTGGAAGAAATCCATCGAGTACAAAAAAAGTTATAATTTTTTGAAAAATGGCGAACAAACATTGCACCCACCTATTATTTGGTTGATATTCTGGCTCAATTTTCATTTAACCTTCTAACTCGATTTCTTCCTAAATTTCTCCGCGGATTAATGTACTCTATCATGATGTGCCTCTAAAAAATGCCAAAATTTGACAATATCTCTTTTTCTTCCATATTACGACTTTACCAGGGACGAAGCTCACACAAAAAGCTGTTTTTCCAAAAATTTCACCCTCACTGTCGTGCCCAAAATACAAAATATCCGGAATATACGATAAAGTCTGAAATAATAAGGCTCAACAAAAGATTTTGAAGCGGGTAAGCAAAAATTAGCGATGAAACCTCATTAATCGTGCTTCTCTAATAGCCCTTCTCCATTTTAGCTAACCCAACAAAATAGAGCAGTGCCCAGAGGCAGGTCCAGCGACGAAAATCCAAAAATAGCAGCGGCCTCAAAGTGTAAATGGTTGCACTATTGCATGGCATCTGACTCATCGGACAGCTCAGCTCCAGAATTAGATATTGACTCAACACCCAACGATTTATCAAACTTTAAAGTACAGTTCCCAAAAAAACTAGCCAGTGTAGTGTAATCGTTCCCACCCTTGGAAGGAAGTAGGTTTTTGAGCACATTACGTTTTCACCTTCGATCGAGAGACATCGCGCTAATTTGCTTCGTTCAACAACCTTGGACTACAAATGACCAGAAGTTCTTATAACGAGTAGTCTTTGATTTCCTTATAGCAGCACGTACAGAGTTCTTGATAAGGTGAACTTACTTCATTCCAATCAAGTAGCAAGAGAAAGCTATGAAACATATGCAACAATCATTTTTAGCGCACTAATTCTAGAATTGTTTAAAAAAATCAAAATGTAATTATAGAAACCAAATTGTACAGAAGGATGCATTAGGAGAACCTCTTGTTAGGAAAGAACTCACGAATGATTTAGTTTACTTTTCCATTCAAATTAAGCAATCCGTAGACTTATATATGTCTTTTTTTCAATTTGAAAGCTCCTTAAACGAAATCCAAAATCAAGAAACACCACTTTGTTACAAAAGTTGCGCACCAACAAATATATTTGCAATTTGTCTCAAAAATTCTGGCATCTCTTCAAGAAATGTTGATTTTGATAATATCACACACAGTGCATTCCCGCTGCACTGCACTTTGATTTGATATATTATCAATCATACAAAGCATAAAGAATAAGAAAAAAATGGAAATCGTGACTCGCTTTTTAAAGTATTTTCGAGAAATTTTTTCGATTAGCAAAGGTGAAAGCTAAGTGAAAAGTACCTTGATATTCATCATTTGCTAAGCAATCCAAAAAAACTTTCCGTTATATTTTCTTTGTCAGATTGTACCGCCGTGACTTGCAACTTTTTCAAAAGAACGCTTGATTTTTCATTCAGAAAAACGTGAAGCGAGCGAATCGCTGATGAAGATCACAATTTTTCAAAAAGTTGGATATCTTCGCTTGATATTGGTCTAGTTAAAATTTCGGAGACTTATTAGTAAGATGCTTTGAACATATATGAAGCATTCAATATCGTTGATTTTATTGTGGTTTGGGTCAGAAAGCAATACTGGAGGTATGAATAATATCAACATTTAGTAGAGAAGAAACCTACCAAGTATCTGTCCAAGCAGTCCTTGGCCTTGTCCGTGACAAGTATGTACAGTTACCAAAATCAGCAGAGGTAATGACATGGCACGATCGACGCCTAGGCCGCTGGAATAGCCGCAGTCCGAGAGATGAAGAAGCAGCGAAGGGGAAGAATGATGATGAACGTCAAAGAACACTGTGTTACAAAAACCTGTTCGTGGCGTAGAAGTAACAATGCGATAAGGTAATTTCGGCGAACCGCGAGACCATAATGAATTCGGCAATCTTACAGCAATTGTTGAGTTTTTCATTGCTGGCACGAAGCTATTGGATACCATAAACAATTTTTCTGGACGGATATTAGGCACATGGGCAAGTGTAATGACACGAAGGTAAAATTGTGTATCTACAAATAGGGTAAACAAAATAATTTCTTTTATGCAGTGTCCAAACAAGTTCAGGCGGGCCTTTTCATATTGGGATGATGATTTGTAGGCGGTGATTGAGCCATTGCCCCAGCGGCAGGTCATTAAAATCATTTGTCGTTGAGATATATAGCTTCGGACCCTCGCCCATACCGTACTCAGGATGCTGAGCTCGCACTGAAGGAATACGGTACTGGCTAAGAACTCGAAGTTGAGTTTTCGACTACCAATGAATCGAGCTGCCATAGGGCAGTAACCTACCTCTGTATTTATTTTCCCATTCAGTACTTTGAATAAAGAGTTAAGATACCTGGTTTCCTGGTTATTGTCTATAAGCGCCACTATAAGCTGGACGGTCAAGCGGCAAATTGTAAAAAAAATCAAATTTGGTTCTAACAAAGCGTTGTTTTGATGAAAGTCTTGGAAGGGTAAGAGATGATTGCTTGGAAAAATTTTCTAGAATTTTATTATGGCTATAGAAAATTTCTCGGGCAGTCGTGAACGTATCACGATTTTTCAGCATCGAGGCATAAATAGATTTTTGCAAAACTTATCACTGAACAGGACAAAGCTGAAAAATTTGCAAAACGTGCAACAGAAATCGACGATTCCTGAATGTTTGAAATAGACAATGCTTTTATTGCGGTTCAAATGGAACCATTTAGCATAGAACAGGTTATAAACGTGAAGATTTAAGAGAATTCTATTGCACAAATTGACCAAAGAGTGTATTTTCAGATGTTTGAATGCGAACAATAGAAAGCCATTATTATGCTTGTAAGAAGTTTGCTATGCAAGAATATTGAAGTTTCTCACCACTTTAGGTTAACTTGTTTGAAAGTATGTAGCATAGTACATTTTGTTTCCTAGCTTGACAAATAAATTGTACATTAGAAATGTAGCCTGCTTCATGCTGGAAAGTAATAAGGAAGATAGTAAATTCAAAAGAAGAGTATCACTTGCCATAAGAAATAGAAAAATAGCGCAACCACTAGAAACGCTTGCTGAGGAAAAACTATCAAAAGGCTTCTTTCGAATTCCGTAGAAGATAATTCTTTTCCCTGGGAAGAGACTACAATAAAGCATGTTTTGAAAATGATAGAGCAGGTAAGAGGAGAATAAAAACTCGGGATTTCATTTTATTACCAAAAAGTAGAGGAGATGTGAAGATCGTAGGTCAATATTTACTACCTTCCCTGCAACATTTCTGGAATCCAATAAATCTCGAATAATAATGTGTCGAAGGGTCAATAAACTGTCTGAAGCAATAGAACAAAAAAAACTTTGATTCCAGCTTGGCTGCTCCAAACTGCTATCTTTGTTTTCTAAGTTTTCGTAACTTTACTCAGAAAAGCTGAAACTTCAAAATCTCATTTTCGAAATCTCAAAATCGCATTGTTGAACTGCCTCGTTTTCTTCGTTGTTATGCCGAAAATTTTCTGCTAAAGATTACAGATAACTATGAATCTATATCAAATCAAGCTTTGAAAAGAAAAAAAGTTGTAGCACCTTGAAACCTTCCTCAAATTTTGAACTGAGTGCTTTTGTAGGCAGAAGTATGCTTATGGTGAAAGACTGTTTTTAGAACCAATGGATTAAACGAAAAGCAAAGTTGAGCAAACCAACTCAACGAAAAAGGCTAAGCGCAATAAACAAGTCATTTAGCAGAACAGCAAGAGCACAATTTTACAACTGTAAACATTTAGATTTTGGATGCCTTATTGCTTACGATTCTCACAAGGGCTGTATGAAGTCTTTGCTTGAAAGTCAGTGCTTTAAGGCTTTAACATAAACTGTAAATAGCACATGTAATATATTTGCACTTTTTACTAATAAATCCTATCCCTGCTAATTGCGTAGTCAGCTTTCTGCTTTATCTCAACTACGATCTCAAGAATAAAATAATTGGCTTGCTAGTTGAATCTTTACAGGAGAGGAATCAGTTCTTTTCCAGCTATATATTGGAAGTTTAGCAACAACATGTTTCAAATCAAACTGCAGTAGGGGATTGTTGAAGTTGGAAAGAATGCAAATGAACGTTGCAAGACAAATTACTCCCTCAGAAATTTCTTTCGTCCTGAAAGAAAATTTTAGTAAAAATAGAAAACGGTGTTTGCGTTGGTCATCTCAGTGACAGAATGAATAAGTTGGGGAACTTCAGGGCCTTTCTTTTATGCATGCATAATCAAAGGTTTCCAAATGTCAAAAATGTATTTGTTAGAAAAATTGCACTATGAGTAACAACAGTTTTCACCAATGAACAATTCTCGATTTTTGAAACCGGTAATGTCTAAGACAAGTTTATAAAATGATGGAGTGGTGTGACCATTTCTGAAGGTACAAGGAAGTAGGCAAAAGTGATATCATCTTCTACTAAGGCTCCGGACAGACTTCACGCGATTTGATCGTTGCGACTCAATCGGACATTTCCATTCATTTTCATTTCACATTCAAAAATTTCGGGCTGGAAAAGTATCACAACCGAAATGCAAGTTGATCGGCATGGAATGATGTTGTAACAGTTGTCTCGTCGCGATTCAGTCGCGACGATCAAATCGGGTGAAGTCTGTCCGGGGCCTAAGGTGGTAATCTGTCTATCGAGATAACAAAGTCTTAAAACTGCTTTCTTCTGGCTTCCTGCAACGCTATCTTCCATATTCATTTTTCATAGCTTTTCTAACGCATTGACGAGAGCGTGATGCACATAGTAGGTCACGCAATGACCCACGTAGGACAATATGACCCACTGGTGTGTTATGGCTCAGATTCTGTTGAGATAACTACTTTTGTGCAATGCATTCGTTTTAATAGTTCTCCTACTGACTTAGAATCAATGTAAATATATTGTAGATGGCATTCTGCGTGATTCTAGCTAAAAATTCTCAACTTACTCCTGGAAGGCATTGTGCCAAAGGGCAGACAATTAAAAACGCATGTTGTCGTCAACGTGTTAAATAAAAGGTGGCTTTTATAAACATTAAAAAAACAGTGCTTTCAATATAAAAGGAAATGGCTGTCATTTGGAACCAGAAAAGGCGCTAAGCTAAAAAAACCTTCATGATTTCTGAGCACGATGCTGAAACTAAAAAAAACCTAACGCTCTTTTCACCATTTGGAAATTACACTTCACTATGATACAGCAGTCACAAAAGAGGAGATAAAGGTCTTGCATTGTCTTTTGTGTGATTCACACTGCGCGAGTTGCCATATACACAACATAAAGTAGAAGATACGATGCGTAATATAGTTACGTTACATGATGTGTAAGAGTCATGAAGGTTTGAAAGAGAAAGAAAGCGAAACAGGTCTTCTCTCCTTATAACTTCAAGGCAGTTGATGGGAAGTGACCCAACTGTCTGTGAAGATTTAATTATCATGATGTACTATTATAGGAAATTATTGTACTTGCTGTATAAAAATAGAAATTCAGCCTGCTTGCGACCAGTGTCATCACTTCCTTAAGAAAAAAGCAAATAGCTGTCTTACCTCATGCGTGTAAGAATGTGTATACGTGTAAAAATTTTCGAAGAATATGAAAACCGTGTTTTTGAGGAATATAAGTAAAGGCAGATTTTGACTGACCTAAAGCATAGAAAGGTTGCTAATATATTGAAACCGCCATAATCGTTCTACTCATCGTCAGTTTCATCTTTGAACGTTTGTTGGACATTCATGTACCTAGTCGGTAAGGAACATACGAAGCTTTAATGCACAACTTGATACATTCATTATTAAAAATTGCTTATTTAAGGTATTTGTATAGCAGTTTCTAGATTCCAGATCACTTGAATCACTGAACAATCACTGAACTGCGAACGTAGTTTGCAGTAAAAGCGTACTGAAAAGATGTTCATAGCCAGTTCCTGGTATAAAAATTAAACTCAAGTAAAGCTGTAAAGGCACGAATTTTCGAATCACTGAAGAAACAACAAAGCAGACTTTACATTTTCAAAAAAGTTGTAGTTCGAGTAATCAGCTTGCTTTCGAAAATCTGATAATTACATCGAAAATGGTTTCGTGTGTTGAGAACAATCAACAGACAAAGCAGTTTAGCACGTGAGAAGTAGCAAGGAGAAGCATAGATGCATGTTTGAAGAAATTTATGGCATCATTAGGGTCTGGTTCAAAATCTTCACTGCTAGCTTTTCACACTGAATTCTCTAGCAACAACAATCGTTACGATATAATTTGTGGAGAGCATGGAACTTTTCAGGTACTTATGATTTGTGTAGTGAACAAAATGTCAGGATTGATAACTAATAGCAGTGTTAGTGAGGCAGATTTTATTATGAATGCAAAACTGTCTTTTCATAAGTCCAAACTCGTTTTGCTTCTTGTATAAACCCTGTCTTATTACACTTAAGGTTTTGATAGGTTGTCAGAAGTTTTTCCACCATTATGACACTTTTATGTCAGGATTGTCCTTTTAGTATAATATGACAAGGAATTCCTTGAAAAAGCAAGTGGGTAGTATTAGGCTGTCCCAAAAGTACTCCATTCTTGGATAAATCAAGCTGTTCCTGCTTTCCTAACAGAATTAAGGTACCATTCGATAGAGTGGAGCAAGCTCTACAAAGAAAAACCACTAAAGATCCACCTAAGTCGTAATCCAGTAAAAATTTGGGACCAAAAATCAAATTTTTTTAGCTACCCTAAAAATCGGATCTCCTTCCAGAAAATTTCCACGGACTTCCAACTTGCTCTTTATATAGTAGACAGAAAGTAGTACTAAAAAAGTATATGGCGGATTTTCT